AATATTAAAGAGTATAAATACTTAGTTTAAAGGGTTTTTACAATTCTGTAAGAGAATCACTTGTTCCTTAAACTCTAAAAGTGTGAATTTAAAAGATCTACTACTAAGTATCTTAAACACATTATTAGGAACAATAAGATTCAAATGTATCTGAAGAAAGTAAAGCTTATTAATGAATGGTCAGAACTAAAGAACTTAAAGTAATTATAACAGTTTACTAGTTTCTACAACTAGTATTAAAGATTCATTAAGAACTATAGTAAAATAGTTTGTCTACTTACTAAACTAACTAGAAAGGTTCTATTTACTTAGGGAAATGAGTAAAGAGAGGCTATAGAAGAGCTTAAGAGACAATTAAGCTTACAGTCTGTTCTTACAATTCTAAATAAGTATAATCTCTTTAGAGTAGAAGCTGATTTGTCTAATTACACACTTAGAGCAGTTCTTTCTTAAAAGCAAAATAGTGTATAGTGTTCTATAGTATTCAGATCTTAGTCTCTAAACTCTGTAGAGTAAAATTATAAGATCTATAATAAAGAGATACTTACTATTATTAAAGTTATTAAGGACTGACACTAGTACTTGTTAGGAGTAAGACAAACCTTTAAAGTATAATCTAACTATACTAATTTAACATACTTTAAAGCTTCCTACAAGTTAAACTATAGACAGACTTGCTAGATAATGGAACTAGTAGACTATAACTTTGTTTTAATGTATAAACCTGGAAAAATACTTACAAAAGCAGATACACTGTTTAGAAGTCCTTAATTTAATAAGAGAGAGTATAATAATAAAGATGTTACCTTTATTAAGGATTCCTAGTTAAGAGGAATAGTGTATACAGATAGTAAAGTCATTCTACAAAAGGTTTAGAATACTTAGTAGGAATTATTAGACAAAGGAGAAGAGTACCTAACTAGTATACTTATTAGAAATGACTATATATATAGGAATTCAAAAATATATGTTCTATTAAACCTTATACTAATAGTTCTAAAGGAATATTATGATTCCCTACTTGTAAAACATTCAGAGTATAGGAAGATGCTTGAAATGATCTAGAGAGAGTTCTAGTAGTTACAGATGAGGACAGATACTAAGAAGTATGTTTAAGACTATAATAAATGCTAAAGAACAAAATCCTTGTACACTATAAGACAAAAGGCATTACATTCTTATAATACACTTGTTAGACCTTAGTAAGTAATATCTGTTAATTTAATTAGTGAATTGCCTGAGTCTAAAGGATTTAACACTATTTGTGTTATTATAGATTGTTTCTCTAAGTAAATACATACTCTTTCTACTACTATAAAGGTTATAGTTAAGAGAATAGTTAAACTGTATAGGGATCAAGTCTTTAAACTCTATAAATTACTTAGAAAGATTATACATATATTATCCTCAAACTGATAGTTAAACTGAATGTATTAATTAAGAGATAGAACAGTATCTCTACTTGTATGTTAACTATAAACAGTCAGACTAGGTAGAATAGATTTTTATGACTGAGTTTGTATATAACAATCAAGAACACTCTGTTACAAAGTTCTCTCTGTTCTATGTTAACTCTAGAAGATACTCTATAGGCTTTAGATTAGTTTTAACTAAGACTAGTATATATTTAGTTAAACAATAAGCTAAACATATTAAAGATGTTTAAGAACTTGTAAAGAAAAGCCTGAACCAAGCTACTAAAGTTATAAAGAAGTACTATAATTGTTATTCAGGCCCCTCTATACAGTACAAGCTAGGAGATATAGTGTGTTTATTTAGACTTAAGAAACATAAAGACTACTAGACTTATTAAAAAGTTTAATAACAAGTAGTTTAGTCTTTTTAAAGTTAACTCAAAAGTTAGAGCTAGTACATATAAGCTCAAACTACCTTAGGGATAGTCAATTCACCTAGTGTTTAATAAGATTCTACTTAAACTATATGTTTCTTAAGTCTTTAATATTTAGAAGACTTCTCCTCCTCCTCTCTTAGAACTTGTAAATAATAAGATTAAATATAAAGTTAAGACTATTCTTGACTCTCAACTCTATAAGAGAAAGCTTTAGTTCCTTGTCAAATGGGTAGGATACTAGGAAGCAACTTGGTAGTCTGAAAATAACCTTACTCATACTTAGGATACTGTTAGGAATTTCTACAAAGTCTATCCTAGTACTCTAAAACAACTAAACATTCTAAAAGAATTGTTTAAAGACTTTAACACTTTGTTTAAACAAAATAGTCTCTAGATTTGATTGTCTAGGATGTACAATCTAAGGAGGGAGGTAATATTAGGATTGTAGGATTGGACCTATTTCATTTTCTTTATATCTCTGTCAGTTTTGTGAAAAACTAACATTATTACTAGATTTTCATGATTCTTAATATCTTATTTATTGTTCTACAAAGTTTTATAGAGATTGTATTAGTATTGAGCACAGGAGAGAGCTATAGAGACACAAGGTAGTGTATACAATTATAATACAGTCAATTCATTTCTTGCCTAATATAGTAACTTGTGCCTCTTTTGTATAATAGTCTCTTAGTTTATATTCTTTAATATATAACACTCTGTTAATTCTTCCTAGCCTCTGATACACCTGTTAGCTTTACAATATTTGTTCTTGTTATTTCTTTAATCTTATTCTCAAGTTTCATTCCTTACTTACTCTTGTTATTTAGATATTATAAAAAGTAGCCTGTAAATATAGTAGTTTCTTAGTTTTTTGACTCTTCTTGTATTCCTACTTGTTCTCCTAACATAAATCCTAGCTAGTAGCTTTGGGAATATAGTTGGTTTAAGGGCTGCAAGTCTACATTTACAGTTTGAGAGTACTATCAACCTAGAGAACACATCTCCTCTAACAATTAGACTAGTTTTTAATTTCTAACTATAATAAACATACTTTTGTCTTATTAGTCTTTATATGTTTTACAACTTTAAACTTAGTTTTTAATACTTTCTTAATACTTTTTTTACTTTTTTAATACTTACTTTACTACTAGTAAAGTCTTTAATTATTTTATTTTTTAATATAACATATATAAAATATATATATAATTTAGTTATAATTAATATTTTTATAGATAGTTATAATATTATATATTAAATAATTAACTTTTATTTATTTATTTCCTTTTTATTATAAACTATATTCTAGCTTATATATTAATTATAAGTATTTAAAATACTTCAATATATAGTTTAAAAGTTTATATATTATATATAACTTTATTAAAGAATTTACAAAATGTAACTCTTTTAAAAGTACTTAATTTCTAATTTCTAAAAGTACTTGTTTGTATTATACTATTTTCTTACTATTTTATACTTATACTATATATTTAACTATATGTAAAAAAAAAACAAGACTTGTTTGTATTATATATAGTAAATATAAGGTACTAACTTAAAGTCAAATTTTTAATATAGTAAATAGTTTATACTAAAGTAATAGCTTAAATAAGTCTAATTATTAGTTCTTAAACATTTATAATAGTAGTAAAACACTTGTATATAAGAACTGTTAAAGGTAGAAGATTCTTTTAACAATTCAGTTACTAATTATATAAACTATAATTTCTTACTAAACTATACTTTATAACATTAAGGAATTAATAATAATGTTAGCTTCTTTTAATTTATACAAAACTGTTAATACAATTCTTAAAAGAGTTAACAGTACTAGTACACCTTGTTTTAAGAATAGTAAAACCTGAATTTACTAAAAAAACTCTACAAAACTTTATAAGATTTATATTATATTATAATTTCTAGCTTACTTCTGTCAGTACATTATTAGCTTACTAGTAGACTAAAATTACTATTCTTACTTATAAAATAGACTTTAGAATTTATTAGTATTACTTATACATATTAGTTGTCTTAATAAAATAAATTAGTAGAAACTAGAAAACATAACAGTTAGGTTTTACAGATTGAGAGGTATACTGTATATAATCTTAGACTTATTTTATATTACTCTTACTTTTAATAGTATTAAATAATTATCTGTATGTCTTATACAATATATACTTGTAAATTGTCAAAATAAGACACTCTCTAGGATTAGCAAACTTAGACTGTCTTCAAGGTTTACCTTATATACTAAGAGAGTTCTGATTCCTCTAATCATTCAACATTCTTAAATAGTAACTGTAATTCTATACACAAAGGAATGACTGTCACTTATACAGTAACAGATTTTAGTGTGTTCATACTAAATTTCCTACTGTTTATATTCAAATTTTAAAGCTATACATGTTAATTGTGTAACTACTAACATACTTCATGTAAGTAGAACCTTCTAAGGAGGACTATTAGATTTCTTGAGAATGATGAAACCTGGAGAAATTGAGTAGACACATTTAATGTCAACCAGTTGTATTCTTTGATAGAGTGTTGAAGACAAATATATTATAGCACACATACTGTTCTTTTTTTATCTGCAATATCAAATAGTCATATCTACCTAGTTGAAATTTTGAATACAGTACTCTGTTTAGCTGTAATAGGATACTTTTCATACAGTGTAACACAGTACAGATTGAAAGCATTGAGAAAGCGAATCGAGCAGCATCATATGCAACAAGTACATACATCCTGGTCCTTCCCACAGGGCACAAAGAAGGATGAAAAGAAAAGAGGAAAACATCATGAATGAGAGGGTGAAGGTACAACATAAAACATATCTATGTACACAGTAAGCAACGAAGGCTACATTGTAATGCATTATAATTCGTTCTAAAATGATAAAGCGAGTGAAGGGTAGGGGAAGGGAACAGGAAAACCGGCGTGAAAAGAGTAATCATGCGTACAGAAATACAACTCGAACAAGCGTTATGAAGGCTGGAACAAGAGCAAAGCAATGGATCCGAAACGGGAAAAGAAACTTGGAAATCTACATGACACGTTAGGACAGGGTTAGTAGAGAAATGTTGATGAAAAACGAATGGGAAACGCAGAGTAGGAACTTTGTATGCATAACTTAGATAGTAAAGGATCACAAATGATCAGCACTACCCTCGGCAGCAATGCTGGATTGCGGATTTCTTCGTGGTAGCGGGCTTGTTGTGAAAGGATGAGAAGATCCCACATGTAGAGAATAGTTGTCTCCATTGCCAGGTACCGGGTAGGAAACTTCGAACGTACTCTGTGTGAAGCCTAGAGTCGACAAAGATGACGAAGACAGGGAAGAATGTACAGTAGGATAGGTCACAGAGGCGGGCGCATTGGGTCGAATCGATGAAGGAACTGGCACAGCATGGGATTGTTGATGTTGCCATTGCATCTGTGCAGCACCGAGTGACGCCAGCGGGTCATCTGCATATCCCGACCCATGGTCAACTCGCATCTCTATGTCAGCCTCCTGTGGTTCCTGCCGGTCCCCATCCATGTCAACCTCACCGTGGTCTTTTCCAGACTGATCTTCCCGCTGTACTTCGGATATCTTCCCTTTCCCTTTTCCCCTTCCCTTTGAAATTCGACTTTTAACAGCCTTCTCACGGGACTTCTTCATGTTCCGCTGTTTCTCAGAAGAACCAAAACCCGGCGTTCTGGACTCTCTTCTGCCAGGAGATGCAGAGTTGTCCTCGGACTCGTCAGGATACTCGTCCTCTTCAACAGAGTCTTTATCCACTTCACTCGTCCCGTCGACAGTATGTGCGGATCGTGGCATTTTCGACCGCATTCCCCTGCGGGACACAGTTGGGAAAATACACCGCAAATTTCGCCGTTCACATTGGCTGAAAAAGAAATTCAGCGTTGAATGCAGAATATGGAAGTAGTCAGGATACGCAAAGGGAAGATGTACTCACTTGCAGATTGAAAGGTCTCCACACTTACTAGGACCGCACGCAATCTTCCTATTGCGACAGAAATGACACGCCATCTTTGGAGGGGTTTTCTTCTCTGTCGAAAGCTTCAAGCGTGGGCCGGACCTATTACTTGCTCCGGTTCTATCACCGTCGCGATGTACAAGCCCGGGCAGCGCAAATCGCTGCCCGTGTGATCCACCCTCAGTGGAACCCCAACCCTCACCCTGCTCTTCACTCTTGATACCCTTCTCTTCAAAGTCTTTTCTCGCATCGTCATTCGTTTCTGGGGTCTGATTTACTCCGTCCTCAGCACGGGTGCGTTCCGTAGCATCGTCCTGGTTCGGCGGACCCTTTCCGCTCTGTGGCTGAGGGGCTGGGTTGAGCATCTGATGATAGATCTCACCGCGTTTCTGCATGGGATGTGGTAAAAATCTCATAAGGACTGGGTTGTCGCCACTCCGAGCTCCTGGGGGTGCAGGAGGGACATGTTCAGGATCCGGTTCAGAGTCATCTGTCAGATAGGAACGGCCATCATACGCACTTATGAAACCGCCTCCAAGTCCAGAAACATGAGGTGCGAGATGTCCATCGTGTCGCAATACTGGGATGACATAATGATTCAGGGAGTCTGGTGGCAACACAGGACGACTTGCAGGGTTTGCTGGTGCCACGGACGCATATGTCGTACATACTTGGTGATTACCGTTGCGAGCGAATTCTACTGAAGGTGTGGTTACCTCTTCCGTACTCGTTGGAGATATGGGCGAGACAAGCGGATTTGCGAAAGGAGGTTTTTCTGAAGAATCAGGTGCTAGACAAACTTCGTGGTTCGCCACTGCAGGAGTCCAGTCCTTCCCAATCGGCCCGTTGAAGAACTCCTTGTCGCTCAAGTCGTCGGGCGCAGTGGGAGGCTCGGTTCCTATCACACTATTGTGGGCATCGGTTCCGGTTCCAGTACCTCTGGTGGTTCCTGTCTCACCGTTCTGCCCCTGACTCACTTGCCTAATCTTCTCCATCAAAGGAGAACCCCGTAGAGCACTGTCAAACCTCGTGCTACGGTGGAGGGCATTTCCCTCTCGGATTTCGGCTGGTGGGTCAGACATGTCATGCTGTTGACGGAACGTTTCTGATAAGGAGTGTCTATTGTACTCCTGAGCCTGCGTCCACATCGCATCGTTCAGAGATCCAGTCGCATTTCGAGGCGTTGCAGATCCCTCGGAGGATGATTCACCGCGAAACCTTGAGGAGTCTGGTGCGGCCGAAGAAGAGCGCGTGCTAACGACTGACGGGGTTTCTGCGGAGGAAGCGCCTGCATCCACAGGCAATACGTTCGTGGTCGGAGGTACCGCGACGGTATGACGTCGCTCAAGGGAAGAATGAGGACCGCGGTTTCTTGACTTCGGTTGTTCCGAATCTAATGTGTGAGCACGGGCGGGAATGGGCGGCGGTGGCATCAATGCACTGTGGCCACGATGTACTTGTCCTTGAACGGTTTCCTCTTGTGCTTGGGCAGACTGGAGTAGATTTCCATTGGCTCGAACGTATTGAGACGGGACACTCATTGAGGGAGAAGCCGACTGCATTGTTTGCAAGTGGATGAAGGAACTACTTATCTGAAACTAGTCATCAGCATTTCAGTGCGAAATGCAGTACGCAGACAATGACATGAAAGGAAGGCACCAAGAGTGGTCGGGCTGTACTGGGCACAACGGGGGGGAAAGTAATCTAAGCTCACCTGTTCACCATCCAATTGACCCACTACTGGAGAAGGGTGATGTGGAATGGACGCTTGTACACCAGATGGGCCGTTCGTAGCATCATATTGTTCGAGACGTTCGTGTTGCTGGGATGCCTCCTGTCCTTCCCCACAATACTTCCCGCTCAGCGGGTCGGAATCAGATCGCGCGAAGGACTGTGCAGAGATTGAATTGCAACCACAGCTAGAACCGGAAGCAAATCCAACTCCAGACCGTCGATCGGGAGCCGAGATCGACGCGCTCGGCAAATGAGACCATGCACTAGCATCTGGCATGAAGTCGAAATCTATTCCCGCGGGCGCCGGAAACGTTTCACCCGTTCGTTCAAGTGACCAACCGACCATCTCTTCCTCTGCATGGCAGACGTTGATCCCAGTTCCATTGATCCCAATGGGATTGAAGGAGTAGTCCGCTCCATAGGTAGGAAAGTGAGACGGATCTGTGACACCAGCGGTATTCGACGGAGGAAGGTGTGCATTTTGGAACATTGAGAATGGCTCGTCATGCGCCCAGAGGAGCTCATCAGGTCGTTGGTGATTCGATTGAAGGAACGACATCGAAGATGATGACGGATGCATCTGGGAATACGAGAGTTCGTCAGAAAATTGCGATGATATTGGAGCGTGCCTGTGTACTTCTCCACCCTGATACGTCTGATCTTGAGCGCAGGACAAAACATATGAGTCAGTTCCGACGCCCTGCCGGCCAGGGAGAGTGGCGGACATGCTTCCCTCAGAGGTGGGAGTGGTATTTGAACCTGCAGGAGAATTGCGCATCACCCGTACGTCGTGATCACGAGGCGAAGGTCTTGTGTGGTGATTCCGGGCAGATGGAGAGTCCTGCTCGGGAGCAAGGACAAGTGCGGAGGCAAACGATGACGTCGTTGATTTAGGGACTGACGAAGGAATCGCGCCGAACGATGGATAATAACCGATTGCGTCGTGTACGAAGGTTGTTCCAGTTTGCGATGAGAACTGGTGCGGCAGATGGGAAAAACGGGTCGAAGAAGTCGAGGCAGGATTAGGAACCCGATTAGTTGGAGGGGCCGACATCTTGACGAGAATCGAGTGTCGTTCTCTTAAGCGTATTTAGTCCGTTTATGTGCTTCTTTGATACTGGTAAGTTGGTCGGGTATAAATTGGCCAGAAAGCCGATATATCACTATCAGATCTGAATGCGAATCTGGGTACTGGGTATTAGACGATGAAACTGAAGATACACGCATGAAAGATGGATGGCAATAGAATAGAAGATTTATCGGTCAGGTGGCGCCGCAAGAAACACAATGGGGAAGGTAAGGGACGTCCCATGAAGGCGAATAATATGATAAACTTACCGAGGCGCTTAGGAATGGCAAATAGGCTAATTTGGGAGATTCGATGCAGCGCCGTTGAAAATGGAGGATATGGTAGTATTGGACGAGATGATGTCTCCGTTCAATGCCGACGGATGCCTGATGCTTCTTCTTACCCAAGCTTCGGTGGAATGAGCGTTAAAGGCGGCGAGCGGCTATTTCGGACTGCCAGACGTCAGAAGACGAGTAATCAGGAACTTCAGGTCGCGATAGGCCGTGTTCACTACTCCAGGTATGAAGGGAAGTTAACAAAAGATATAAAGGTGAGGACGCACATGATACGAAGGCATGCGTCGGATTTGTAACGGTCCACACTAGGACAAAGACGGGACCAATAAATGACACGTTTCCGAGTTGGCTCGGCAGCTACGCGGATAGATGAATAACAGATGAAGATTGATCTGTGAGAGCTGAGGCGGAATGGAAGTTAATTGACTAATCAAGCTTACCAGCTGATTGGAAACTATGAGCTGCGCTGTGTGTTGTTGGGGCTTCTTATAAACCTGGGACAATCTGGACCCAGAACTGGTGCGGTTGACAAAAGTGGACTGCCCTCGACTGGGGATGGGGTTCCTCTGAGTCAATGAATGGCACAAATCAGTCAAGCACGAGGGTTGCTAATATGCAAGTCCTTGGGGAGGGGCGACTGGACACGAGAATGTGTGCGAATGCAACAACAATTAAGAGGCAAGGATTGCGGTATTACAAGGAAGAAATCGTGTTGTTAGTTACGTTATAATACGTGCCGGGTAATGGTGATCTGGATTGGGCCACAGATCTGAATTGACGGACAAGAATAAACTCACCAAGGTGACTCGGTGATTCTGCGATGTAGCTTGCTGCTGACTCACAGGGAAGCGTGCAGGCCAAATGTAACGTGCCACGCCAGCGAGAGAATTTCGCCTAGTATTATTGCTGCGGCCCAAGAGCAAGAGGTCAACGCGCATTCTGGTGGAATTTGAAATGAGGCGCGCATCGTAGAGGGACGCACCGAAAACAGAAGCTCGGGTCGGAAGAGAAGCTCAGATAACCAACACGGTGCACAAACGGCACAGCTAAACGACCGAAACCTTTCGGGTCAAGTTAGGACAGCCCTGGTACGAGGGCGCGAACGGAGCAGATATGATTGAGCTCGCAGTTGCGCGACGTCGGGAGTCTGCAGGCAGGGGCACTTGACACTTCTAACAACGTGTATCGCGAAGGCAAGTGTTTCTGGGGATGAAGGGAGTGCGGGTTGAAGGGGAGAGGAGAGGGCATGGACCGGCGGGAATGGCTAGCTTCAGCTCGCGCTTACTTGACCTTTTAGCGCGCCAATCCCCCGGGAGTTTAGTCACTTATGTCACACCTAATTTTATGCACTTATGACAACTCTATCTCTCGGATAATTCCCGAGGATGTTTTTTTCATTTCTGCTTCCGTTTATACATATTTCCGTCACGCATCACGATCAAGCCGGACCGGCCGACTACGTCTAAATTCTCCGTCCGGAAACGTCATCTCTTGTACTTTCGAACAAACGAGCAGCCACGCACACTTCCAGTAGCATCCTCTCAATAGATCGTCATCCAGCGGAAGCAAATTTTCAGTCAACGGAATCTTTTCCTTTCCTGGACTAATTTAATATAATGTCACCCCTGTGCGTCCCTGCGCTCGCGTGACTACAGGCGACTGTCGGACCTGTTTCTTATCGTCGTCCCAATCCAGCTGAGACAGCCTTTGCCAAGGGACTGTGAAGCCGCGTGTATTGTTCCCAAGGGAAGTTGCTGACCTTTATTCACATCTCGTTACTCGGTGCTTCCTGTCCGATTGCCAAGCTTGCATTGGCGAAAAAGCAACGCCAATCGTACCTTTGTCTTGGCGATCTAATGACAAGGAAAATAATAACCAGAATCAGAGGACTCTCCTCGGCAAATACAATATCATACAAGGTCAGGGCGGTTTTCACAAAGCAACACAAGCCACATGGACGACGTATCTCGAAAACAGATATCAAAGGGCGTCCATGTCAATCAATATCTTTCCTTGCTTTCCCATCTGTCGCGTTCGACCCTTACTGTGTGTCCTCAAGTTGCTATGGAACAGCAAGCCTAGCACGCAACTACGATTGAATTTGAAAGAAGTAGATTACGATCTATTATATCCATCCAAGGTTAGCTAGTCCAATTGATACCCACGATTTTATCAACGAGACTATTTTGATCAGTTTCCTACACAGATGAATAGCAATGGATGACTTCCCGTAAGGCTTTCTGACGAGAAAAATACTAAAAACCGTGTCTAAATCATCGGTCCGAAGGGAACCGACTAGTGTACCATAATTTCGGTCAACAACACCCCATGAATAAACTTAAAATCTGTACAGGGGGGGGTACCCCCCCTGTACAAACCTCAAAACTTGAGAAATACGTTCATAATAATATATATGGTAATATAGCCGACGCTTATGACAGTATCCCTGATTGCCTGTCACTTTGTCATCGGAGTTACATCTGTATTTAGTATAATTGATGATCAACATGTTCTCTCAGAACATTTGCCCTTAGCTATAGCATCTATGAATCTTGGTGTTACGGGAAGCAAATTTTGTCTAAATCTATCCTATCTCGCTTATATACAGAGTTTATGAAAATAGGATGCCTTTTTTCTAGCAGAATTCTTACGGGAAGTCATCCAATAAATACCCCAGTCAAAGAGGCAGGGAGAACAAAAAGTAATTGTGTGCGTACATCCCAAGATGAAAAAAAGGGGGGAATAAGAACAATCTTGTCAAACCTTCGGCTAAGTATATACTAATCCGAATATAGTAGAAGCTCCAAGCGGTATAATTTCAAACACTTGATCGTATATGGACTTGTCTGTGCATCTCGTTCTCTCACCTGTGCAACAATTAAGGTACTACAGGAAATCCCTTTTCGCTGCGTTGACCATAATCAATCGATCAATTCGGTAACGTTGCCGTCTCGTTTTTCCACGTCCGCCTGGAACAATGCAGGCATGATTTGTCACAGGGACCAGCATAAAACAAAAAAGTGCGTGCAAGACCTAGTCTAGTTGGCAATCTAACCAAGACCGAACGCCCCGGATCGTGATCGTGCCGACCACCTGTACTTCCGCAGTTATCAGATGGTCGACAGACCGAGTATCTGGCTCAATGCCTCACTGTCATCAATATTCAGAAAACTGAATTACTCAGACTGGAGTGCAGCGTTTTCGCGTCCGTTCCGACACCGATAGCTTACATGCTACATGACCAGTAAGGTATTCGTGCTTCCCAATGAACCATCTAGCTCGAAGCTAGAAAGCAGAGTACTGATTGAAGGAGCTAATTCATGACACGAAGCATTATCATTCACGTATGTAGCACCTAATGGAGCATCCAGTGTCGGAATGTGGTGAACATCCGAATGTTGTCTTAAACACGTATGTTCTGCTATATGGAAACGCGATCAACGAGACAGACGTGGCGGCGGCGGCACGATGTCATTTTGTCAACTTAATCGATCGCGTGGGTTTACTCAAACTCAAGGTTCTAGTCTGTCAATACAACTTCAAAACTCATAATACTTCGCCCGCTTGCCATATATCACAGGGTACAGATTAACGGGCATTTGTATCACTTCGAAACCGGAATGAAGGGAGGAGTGCCGGCTGTACACAGACATCATCTACGTGAGCAATCGTTTGTATACGTGAGTGTTAATATATATATATATATATATTGGATAGGTTGTTACATCACTCGTGGTGTAACGAGGATCAAAACAAAAAGGCACCTTCATAAGCAAACGATAGGGGTGATGAGAGTGACCAATATTATGCATTGTACCAGCCCTCACGAGCTGTGGTCTACTGCTTGTTAAGCAGACATCTATTCGGTAGACGATATAACGTTGCCAACGCCAGTTGTGACATACCTGAAATACCATCGTGGCGCCCTTCAGATGATACCGTAATCCTGTCAAGAAACCCTATCAATCAGGCAAATTCTCCATAGTTGGTTCTATCCCCTTCTTAGCCTAATGGCAGATACTTGATCCAATCACAATGTCTCTTTGATTTATCAAACAACGTACATACTTTTCATGTGAAGACAACAACTGTATATGTTGAAGCCGTGGGGAGGACGCGTGTGAATGTCTAAAGTCTGGTCATATACTCAGCTACCCTTTACAAGAACCAATACTCCAAAGTGAAACTGTCTGTTAAGTGTTAACAGTGCACCAAGCTTCACTGTACCTCTCTCATAGAAAGCGATTTCCGTTCTTTCGCATCAGCACATATGCGTGAAGCTTCATTGAGAGGGGGGGGGATCTAACTGGTGAACGACATGAACTTGAAAGTAGTAGCTCTACAACGGGACATGCCACGGATCTTAATAAAAACCATCGGCCCTCGAGCTTCCTCCAAGTAGTATTGCCACTGTGTCGTGCTATGGACGATGGCGAAAATGACGGTGATTGAAAACTGGTACCTTGGTCTATTTTGACCTGTTCACATAGTACGATTTCCCATTCAGTCAAATGCGACAGTTGCTCAGTAAGTAGGTACATTGGTTAGGCGACGTATTAGCGCACTTCTCGAATGATTACTATTTTCAAGTTGACATAGACTGCTTGTATAATGGTGAAATATTGAACTAGCGTTCTACTGCCAATGCTTCGCGCTGATGACCACTGGTAATTCGCGGGATACAATTGTACGGCATGGGGAAAGAGATAGATTGGGTGAACAACGTAATTGCGGGAACATCTCCGTGAGAACATTGATGTTGATGCAGAGAAGACGCATCCACAATGAGTACCTTGCGCCTATAGACCGACTCCGATTTGTCGTTGACTTCGTAATGCAGTCGTGCTTCTAACACAGTTTTGGTACTGGACATTTGGAGACACCGAAAGGGAATTAGGAATGCTTCTTTGCAGCCCGATAAACAGAACCTAAAGAAGTTTCGCCTACAAGCGCCAAGGCAGTGTGCAACGAGGATACAGTGAGGCTAAGCAGTGAACTGGGAGGCAGTGATAATGGACAAAGCCTGGTGCTTCCGTTTTTGAGAAGGTAGGTCCATCTGGAAGTAAAATAGCCGCAAGAGTGATAAATAACGGGAAGAGCCGAATCCAAATTACGGTAGGCGTAGACTAGTCTAGAAGTTCTGTAGGATCAATGTTGACGATGGGCCTCGATGGCACTGTTTTGTCACGCGAAATGCTACCAGAAGACCTCACAGCGTTCAAGTTACGAGCTCCATGTGCCAAAGAAATAAATGAGTCATGAAACATACGCCACTCCAACATTCATAGACATTGACCAACCCTACAAGGTCCTTTTATCGATTAACGGTACTAGTAGTACGCATGCTCAGGCAGCAATAGCGCCTCCTCTTCTGATGAATTGGATGATCGTCTGCAGTCCCAGAAAGGCCACAGCTGCCTTCAAAGCTTAATTTGCGTGGGAAGGCATTTCCACAGGTGTTGTTTTGCAGCGCATCGAGACACTGAAGGAGAAAATCTTCGCATGGGATCACCCGGACGAAAATATGACACCATGCGAAACGATTGGATTCATTGGAACAATTCACGACTGAATAGTTGTCCGCTGGGAATAAGTACTGGAAAGAGTATTCGCTGTAGAGTGTTCTTACCTTTAGATGTCGTATTATTATCTATCAACTACTGTTCACGTAGAAGCGCAACCATTGATGGGTCGACGACGAAAAATCGATGACTTACGATCATTTGCCATAATCAGTGAAAAACACACGTGTACCGGAGTAGGAATTGAAAAAACCTCCCGGTAAGGTAATGTCCATTTGAACGCAGGAAGGAGAATGAAATATACCCATGGCGGACAAAATGCTTCAACGTACCATACAATAATCATATTAATAGGCGACTTCAATTAATTGGCAGAGACACTTGCAGAAGGGCTTCGGCAATTTAGAGTTAAGATGCCAAGAGTTATGCAAGTCTCTCAAAATTGAAGAGCTGGACTTGCAGAGATCGACATTTAATGCCCATGTCACGTTACTCATGATTTTTGTTGGGTTGTAGTCAGACATTTCTTTATTTCAAACTCCGACGCGTCTGCAAGTGCCAACAAGTGGGTTCGAGCACTTGCAGACACTTGCAGAGAGTTGCACGGATTTACATCTCTATTTGGTATATATTAAGGTACGTCCACTTTGCCGAGCCACCCCAAAATTTTCCAACTGTCCTGCAAGTGCTCCTGCCAATTAATTGAAGTCACCTATTTACAGCTCGACGGGTTTACGTAATAACGATCTAGTCACGTGCATCAAGTGGCAAGCAACGCGTTTCGTAAGTCACGACGCGGGCGACAGCCGCGTGTCTTGTACTACTTTCTTCACGCACACTGACTATGGAGGCAAAACTGTGAGTAATCTCTTTCTGGGGCTAAAATCATCGCGCTCTGAACTTGTCGTAGAAAAGCACTTAAGGTTGTCGAATTGAAGGAGCTTTTGAACGAAGCAAAAGTTCCCATTCCGGCCAAGGCGAACAAACCGGACCTCATTGCAAAGATAATCGACACAGAAGCGGCTAGCTCACTTTTCCAAGTTAAATATGGCGATGCAAGTGGGCGGCCGTCAGGTGCGAGCACGCCTGTTCCCGTAGCAGGGGCAGCACGGACAGTCGTGGAAAAAGGAACAACGGAGGCGCAGCGCGTTGCAGAGCCAGCAAAGGAGTCGAACATCGTGTGTCACGTTGTTCATCTTTGATATTGCACACTAATAGTTCTCTTCTCATATCGTAGCTTGCGCCACCCGAACCGTACGGCTGTTTTCTTTATATATCTGTACGTTCCTGCTCACTCGGATGACAGGTTCGACTGGTCGGCTGGAGCGGAACCATCGGCGGAAACTACTGCGAAATCAACTTCGGTATCTGCTCCAAGCGTGCGTCACTACTGTGGGATACATTTCCACTCTTTATGCGACTAACTTCGTCTTCCATTCTGAATAATGTTAGGTGACTGCAAAGCCATCAAGCTCAAATGCGGCTGCGTCTGCTGCTGCATCCACAGCAAACCCGCAGTCACAGGCTGCGCCATCCCAGTCTCCTGCTGACGAGGATGAAGAAACAAAGAAACGTCAGGCTCGAGCAGAACGCTTTGGCCTCCCTCTCATTGAAAAACCTGTGGCACCGAAGGCGAAGAAATCAGCGAAGGCAGCAGCTAATAAACCAACCATTGCTGCGACAATCGGATCAGGTGCAAAGAAGGCAGCAGTAAACAGTACCGACGTAGTCGAAGAGGTATCTGATTTAGTGCCTTCTCAGAGGTACGAACTGAACAAGTTTGATAGGATCCAGAGAAATTGAAGACGCGTGCCATGAGATTCGGGCTCGTCGATAAAGTGACACCGAATAAATCTGCAGCTTCATCCAATGGCAAAAAGCGGACGGCGCCCGTGGAACAAGTTGATGCAGAGGAGGCAGAACGACGACGTAAACGAGCAGAGCGCTTCGGACTACCTGTGAAGGCCTGACTGATATCCTTACCTCCGCCGGATTCTGTTCTGTTCTCCTGAGCGTGTGTGCTATGTATATATAGGTGAGCTTTTTCCACACTGCACGCCAGCTATTGTATACTGATTCCTTCTCGACATCTCAGATTCGAGTCATATCCCATCCGCTTTATCTTCGAATCTTGCTAATATACTGAGAAGATTGTTTATGTCGATTTTCTCCTTTTTCAAACTGGGTCTGGCTTAAGATCAAAGTTTGGTTTGAAAACAGTTTTGTGGTTAGGTTAAAGACTTCTGTAAAAGGAAAACACTGAGATTCAATCGTCGCATCGACTTCCCCTTCTGCTGAACAGTGATGGCATTCGGGACATGTGTTCAAAATCATTTTGATGCATGGCCTGTGCTCGCGCAGTCAAACAACTCAAATTTGGTTCGGAATGAATTATGTAATCGAATGTACGACCTTCGGTCCTCGTACCCTTGATGTTGTTCTATATTTGCTGCAATTCACCGGTAACAACAAATGTCCTCGACGGAGATCAGTTCTATTGCCCGTATAAACTATTGCACCGGTGTTCGGAGGGCCGTGTTCGGATGCAGATTTGAAGCGAAGCATCAAAGGCACCATGCAGTTTGTGCCAATGGAAAGCACACTGCAATGATGTTCCCTAGTCAACCTCAATGAAAGCGTTGGTGCAAAGTTGTTGGGTATGCCATTGCCGATGTATGTCCTGCTTTTTACATCTCCAGTTTATATCCCACTTCACAATGATTTCCGTGGCCGTGATCTCGGTCCCGCGGCCTCTGAAAATCACGAAACTGTATTACGGCAAGATCAGATCGCCGTCGTCCCGGAAGCTTTCTTCGAGACGAGACCTTGGTTTGTCTTCCGCGTCTCACTCCGCTTCTAACTGCATGATTTCGTATTGAACATCTTTCAACGTAAGACGCCTCAGAATGCTATTAATTACACACTCCTGCCGTAAGTACAGGGTGAGCCTTGAAGCATTGCAGACAGAGCAAACCCAATTTTAGCACACTACGACCAGCATGGAATGCCATGTAGATCACTCCAGTGCACGCTTACGCTCTTGGAGAAAGAGTGCAACGACTATTTTTAGGCTGAGTACCGTTTTGGAAGACTGGAAAGGAGAGACGGTCGGTACCGCCGCGTGCGCCAGTAGCCGCCTAGACGAACGTGGATCAACGCCGTGGTCTAGGTCCATACAGGAAGTGATACGCGCAATGCATGGGTCCCATCGTCGGACGTCCGCCACTTTCGGTAAGGCAAGACACGAGCAGAGCAACTGTGTGGCACACCGTCAACCGGACGCCCACCGTATTTATGAAAGCGCGGGAGGTCTTACTCCGAGAGCAAGGGATCCCCTTAGCTACTAGTTAGTCAGTCAGCCAAGCCCGAGACCAATGCTACCCATATCGACACACACGACCGCCGCTATTCTCGGACTCGTCCTGAGTACGTTCGTGCGGATCGCGTCAGCGGCGAACTACAAGCGTGTGGCATGCCCGGGTGGCACGCACGTCGCCGTTCGCAAGGAGGTAAGCTGTAACGGAACGAGATCTACACAACATACTAACACCGCCGATGATTTTTTGGAATTAATGTAGTGCTGTGTGTTTTATGACCTGAGGGACGATATGCAGGAAAACCTGTTTGAGAATGAATGTGGGGATGCAGGTACAACCGCCACACGAGTTCAGCGTACTTGATGAGGAGTGCTGACATGTTGAACTTTCGTAGCACATGAAATGCTCAGACTCACTTTTCACGATGCAATTGGGTACTCACAGTCTGGACAATACCCAGGACATGGTGCAGACGGCTCGATCATAGTGTTCCATGACACTGAACTGGCATTTCGCGGTAACAACGGCATCGAAGATGCCGTATTCTCACTCTTGCCGTTCCTCTCCAAGTACAATGTCTCTGCGGGAGACATTGTACAATTCGCAGGCGCAGTCGGACTTTCCAACTGTCCCGGTTCTCCTCGGTTAGAATTCTTAGCAGGAAGACCAAACGCAACCAAACCCACAAGCGGAGATACAATCCCTTCGCCGGCGGATAAAGCAGATGCACTCATCGCACGTCTAGGAGACGCAGGTTTCTCCGCAGAAGAACTCGTGCACCTCATGGCGAGCCACTCAGTTGCAAGGGCTAGGCATATTGACCCGACTGTCCCACGGGCAGCACTAGATTCCACTCCTGGGGTTTTCGATTCTCAGTTCTACCTTGAGGTACTACTGAAAGGCCAAGGGTATCCCGGAAACGGAAGTGGGAACCCGTTCGAGGCATCCTCGGCTTTGTATAGCGAAGGAGGGCTGCGTTTTAATTCCGACTCTGAGCTAGCACGAGATAGTCGAACGGCGTGCACATGGCAGTCCATGATCAGTATGTATCAGGCCGTTACCGGTATACTAAGTCGCTAATTGTGAAACTGCAGGCAACCAACAGCTTATGATGAATAGCTTCCAACAAGTAATGGCAAAGCTCGCTGTCACAGGCCAGGACAAGTCAAAGCTTATTGACTGCTCTGACGCTATTCCAGAACCAAAACCTCTCTCGGAAAGCCAGGATCAACATACTGCTGCATACCCTCCAGGGCAATGCGTAAAAGACGTGCAGAAATCTTGTTCATCACCATTCCCTGTTGTTCCTATAACATGTAGGTTTCATTACGCCACTTTGCTGAATCTGTTTACCTTTCTTATATAATTGCGTTACAGTCGGCAAGCCATCCCAGATTCCGTCTGAGCCATAAGAAAAGGGTCCAATCAATGATACCTAGCAATTATCGGCTTAAGAACGCGTTCGTTCGTGTATAGTATCTCCATTCAGATCTAACTCTCTGTATCGTTATTCTTCTTATCAGCATAATTACCCTCTTCATGATCATGCTTTGCACGATGTAGATGTCACGAGCAATGTTTCCTTCTCCTTTTCAAAAAGTGACGAGATGCATATGGACTCCTCTCTTGATTGTATCTTTTACGTCTGGATCACGTACCATTCCTGCATGTATTTATGTATATTAGACTGCAAGACGATGGTTGTACGATAGAATTGTGATCAAAGCAGATGCTCGTCTGTATTTGTCAATCTCGTTGCATTAGATGATCTGCCCATGAGAGACGGCGCATAGGACAGCAAGCGAGAAAGAATATACAATGGCGACGCGCAGGAAGGGCTTGCTGGGCTAGGCATGTATGTTGGGGTACACCGCTGAACATGCTGCAAAGTAAAGGTAGAATACTATCGTGGGGATCTCCACTTTAGTGCGATATAAACAATGCAAGGACAATAAATTATGCAAGTTGGTATTGTCATGTAAGGAAAGATTAACATGCAAAATTTAATCACGCTTTACGTGTCCTGAGGCACCTGCGACAAGTGTCGAGGGAAGTTCTTGGTTGCCTACGGTGTAGAGAAGAGATACGGAACCGAAGATGACAAGAATGATGCCGATTACGGTGCCCGTGATGAGGACGAAGGAGCTGCGAGAAAGATATTCTTTAAAAACACGACGAAGTACACGTAAAGTAGTGACTTACGAGCTAACGTCCTTTCTTTCGCAGGCGTCCCCTGCCCATTCCTGGACACGGCCTGCATCATCACGGGTAGGTGCACATGCGCATACGAAACAGGTCCTTCCAGCTTTGTGGGCTTCGACACAGGCTCCGTGACCTGAACATGACGATGTTGCATTCCCACATGCGTCAGCGGAGGCATGACATGTCGAGACACCGCCGATAGGAAGTTGCGGCGAGGGTGTCGCGTATGGCGGGAGAGGTGACTGAGGAGGTTGTTGACGCGCGGCGTGCACCTGCGTCGGCACAGTCGGGTACGTGAGGATAGCGAGAGCGAAAGACGGCTTTGAGAGTGCTGATTCAATGATTGCGCGTGTTGTCTCTGCCGCCAGTTGGTACAGCTCGCTGTCTCGACCGTACACATCCAGGAGTTGTGAAATTCCCTTGAGAGAGAAAGCACCAAAGGAATCTGTCTCTTCTGACTCGACGAATGCGACAAGCTGGGAAGTCTCGGAGAAGAAAAGTTCTGTAGCTTCGGACGGGTGAGCGGTGAAGACATCGATGAGTAGACGAGGTGCTATGTCGAGTGGCGCTTCAGAGAATATGGTTGTGTATACGTGTTGCGAGCGCTGAAGATAGGACGAGACGACAGAAGATACTTCGGCTTCGACCGACGGTGGGTTTGGAAGCAAGAAGGATTGTTTGACAGTAGACGGAATCACGTCTATAAAACCATCAGTAATTGGCAAGGCGTAACAAACCGAAGACGCTTACCACGCGCAACGTCCTCGCTAAGCGTCACTAAAAGGGCATTCTCAGTGCCCTTTCCAACAAACTCCCCAGAAACGAATTGTTCTACACCCTTCACATCCTGGATAGGGTCAAAGGCTTCAAGACCGAGATGGTGCGAAACGACAGCTCGTGCTTGTGCTGGAGTCAGGGACGAGCTTGAGCGTGAAGATGGCGCAGGATGTAGGAAGACTCGGATGCCGAGTGTTGCCTCGGCGAGCAAAAGCAGAAGCAGACACTTTGAGAACATCGTGGCGAGTGAGTTACAGTAGCGCACTAAGTAACAGGCGATGAGGGGCACGTAGCCATAAACGAGGGGCACGTGACACAATAACATGCATACCCTCATTCCTCCTTAAAACTTGGCTACAGTCCATTCAGCTGGCTAGACTTCATTAGACGCATCTGCACGACCGTGATATACAAATTCTGGGGAATCTTACACTCCGTTCATCTCTGAGCGACATTAATCCCGGACTGCTTCCTCGGGAGTGCGTAGCTCTGAAAATTTCACAGACGTTATTCCACAGAAGCAGCCAAAGATCTAGAAGGTAATATTATCACCATCCAGTCAGTTTTACTGCTTTGTATATCTTTAGCTGAGTTCACGCTTTCCTTCTGCATTGCTTTCGCAAACAACGTTTCTCTGCATGCGAGGACAGTCGTCTGAAGTGTCTTTGAATCCTTCAACAAAAGTTGGATTAGAAAATGGGTGTAGAACCGCACCACCATAGGGCCACCCTCAAGCAGGTCAGTGCTGAGGAATAGTATAAACCAGATGAAGCTGAAGGACTCTATCCAGACAAATAAGCCGTTCAAATCAAAGCATGCATCAAAATCAGCCCAGAAAGATCGAGCAAAAGGTTTTGTTCAGTTTAATGAGAGCTAAATGGACGAAGCTTATTCCCTCCGAAAGGACGTACTGCTAGGCAGTCCGTAAAGTCGGCGAACCCACAAAATACAGCGGCCCAGCTGCGTTCAAATAGGAAAAATGCAGCAAAGCAGATCCAAATAAAGAAGCGCCAGTCCTTGGTTGCCGCAACTCGGATATTCAATGGCGTGGACGGTGCCCCGCGCATTGTTGCCGTGGTGCCACTTTCTGAGGATGTGACCTCCCAAACGGCGACCGTAGGTCTTGCTGGGTCCCTTGACCTACAATCTGACAACATTCCGACACATGGTTCTTGGAAGTTGAAGTCGGTTCTTTCAAATTATTGTCACATGGATACCCTTTTTCACAGTATGTTTTAGGGCAGATCGATTCAAAACGTCAGTACAATTTATACATCTTCCGTACCGACACCTCTATGCCGCACTCGACGCATGCAAGGCCGCAGACTATGTGCTTTTCGTGCTCTCTTCATCCGTCGAGGTTGATGCATGGGGTGACATGCTTCTGCGAGCGCTCCAAGCACAAGGTCTCCCTCATGTCGTAGCTTGTGTGGCACCCGATTCCTCTACTGAAGATAGGAAATCCCGCGCAGGAATTGTAAAGTCACTCCTCTCGTTTATGCAATACTTTGTACCATCACTCTCGCGTATATTCGATCTCACGGCTCCTGCGGATCGCGCCAATGCGCTTCGTGCTATTTGTGAAGGACATCCCACCGATGTTCGCTGGCGTACTGGCCGGTCATGGTTGCTTGCAGAAGACGTCCGCTGGGAGGCATCGGAGACGGTAGATGGTGGATCCTTGCATGTCACAGGTATCTTGAGAGGGACACCTTTCTCAGCAAACCGGCTTGTTCATTTACCAGGTCACGGCGATTTTCAAGTCGAGAAACTCGTATCAGCACCTTTACCCCGCTCAGGCAGGAATACTGCGATGGAAATAGAACCGACCCTACTTGCGGAACCTGATTCAGAGGAAGCAGACTCCCTCGTGAGCACGAACGTCCCGGATGACCTCGCTAACGAGCAAACATGGCCCACAGAAGAAGAGATGCAGGGCTCACAAGGTGCCGATATCGAACAGACGCCAGATGCACAGAAGGGTACGACACCTCGGCGTGTCAAGCGCGTGCCGAAGGGTTGGAGCGAGTATCAAGCGGCCTGGATCGTTGAGGACGAAGATGAGGACGAAGGCAATGATGAAGAAAACGAAGAAGCCAATGGCGATAGTGATGTAGGTATGGAGGATATTCCTGCAAATGAGGGTCAATATCAAGACGCCGGGCAGGAAGAAGAGGAAGAAGAGGACATGGTGGAACTCCCTGAACCAGGGCCGGGTGCATCTACACGCCGGACTGTCACCTTCCAGGATCTCGACATGGAAGAAGAATCTCGACAGTAAGATTTGTTCGCCAATTTTTCTGAACGTTGTCGTTCTGACTGATCGCATTTAGGCTAGACGCCTGGCGTAGTCGAGATCGAACGAAAGAGGAAGCAGAAGACGCTGCCTTCCCAGATGAACTAGATACATCGAAAGACATGCCAGCACACGTCAGATTTCAGCGCTACCGTGGTCTGCGTTCGTTCCGCACAAGTCCTTGGGACCCCTATGAGAATTTGCCTCGTGACTATGCGCGTATCTTTCAGTTCGAGGACTATCGTCTGACTGAGAGAAACGTACGAAAGCGAATGGAGGTGGAGGGTTATGGCCTTGAGGTTGGCATGCATTTCATCCGACGGGTTAACCAAACGCTTACATTGTAATAGCCAGGAACGCGTGTAACATTAACTCTGAAAGATGTACCAGAGGATGCAGGAAAGTTCGATCCGGCATTTCCTTTCGTAATCTTCGGGTTGTTACAACATGAACACAAAGTATCCGTGCTCAACTTCACGGTACAGCGCAATACGGAATATGATGTGCCAGTACGTTCAAAGGTACGATTTACTCGCAAAATGCTTGTGACTTCCATTTCATCTTCCCTGGCTTGCTCACAGGATCCTTTGATTCTCTGCTACGGCCCACGCCGCTTGCGAACAAATCCCATATACAGTCAGCACATGCGCGGCGGCAGCAAGGGCGCAAACAATGTTCACAAGTTCGAACGCTGGCTGAGGCATGGGACTACGAATGTCGCTACCACTTATGGGCCAGTTACGTTTGGGAATCAGCCATGTATACTTCTGCGGGAGACCGATGATCCGCAAGGTATTTTATTTTTACACTACCTTTCTCAGTCGAATGGGAATGACTGAGTTTGTCGACACTGTCGTGTAGCCCCGGAACTTGTGGCAATGGGTTCGTTCTTGAACACGGACACGACGAGGATTATTGCAAAGCGGATCATCCTTACCGGCCATCCGTTCAAGGTGCACAAGAAGACTGCTACTGTGCGCTACATGTTCTTTAACCAAGGTAACAATCGTTGTAACGTATAGAATGCACAAAAACTGATCGATCGTGCACTTTAATCTCCAGACGACGTCGCATACTTCAAACCCATTCAGTTGCACACCAAATACGGTAGGGTTGGCCACATAAAAGAGTCACTCGGTACCCATGGGTACTTTAAAGCTCATTTCGATGGACCTATCAACCAGATGGACACTGTTTGTATGTCATTGTACAAACGCGTGTACCCGCGCTGGCCTACGTTATGGGCAGATGAGAGGGAAACAGGGTTAGAGCAGGAAGGGGACACTGAAAACGCAATGGAAGAGTAGGTGTGTTACTGTATTTTCCGAATGCTCGCCTGTTTCCATAGAGCATTCGACTTTGCTGATAATGTGATTCCATGTAATTAAATTGTATTCAGCTGGTGTCGCTTGCACTGTTGAAAAATGGTGAACAATGAACATCGTTTTTCTCCTACAATAATCAGTCACGTGCCTCTGTTACACGACGAATTGCGGAACGTTTCATCACGAAGAGTCCTCTTCATCTGAGCTAGCTTTAACCTTTTTCCGTTCAAAAGCTGAGGGCTGAAGCATCTGATTAGAATCTATGAGCTATCCAGCACAAAGTCCATACACATCAACCAAGACGAAGAGACTAATGAGATACTTGCAACGGCTGCCCGTTTCCTCCGTTAAGCGCAATATCTCACGCGATATCCGTTTTCAACTCGTAATGAAGGCACCTTGAACCAAAAGCAAGGGACAAAACCTATGGAGAAGTTGGAAGAATTGTTGGCTTTCCGCGCTTTTAGCACAGCCGTCTCGTGTCTTTGCGGGCTCAGGTACACTCTAGTTCTGTTCCTCCACCGGACCGTGTCCTGGTCAAAGAAAAACTTCAACATATGTTTTACCGCTCCCGCTTCCTTGGCTAATGAGAAATGTTCTCTGCAATGTGTGTTGCCGGATGTTTTATCGAGTGCAACATGTGGACTTGAGGTCATGCTCAGTTTATGGTGTGTATATCCGAGTCCACAATGTCATGCTGGACACATTCACGGGTGTATTAACTGATACCTTTGCATCTAAAGAATACCCACAGGTTCCACGGTCGGTGCAGGTGTTTAGTTCCTTATGGTTGGTGTATTCTTATCTCTAGCTACTTACTATAGCTGAGACGAGAAAAGTCGATGAGGTATTGTTCTTTCTAGTTGCAATATCCAAGGACAATTATTCGATGCCGTACCGCTCTTGTAATCCTTCACAGTTCCAGTCATATTCGTAGTATCGGAGTCTTTGCGTTCAGTTTCTAACGGTCCCCATAATTCCAACCACCAAATTTATTGTCTCCTGTGTGCAAGGTGAAGAATACTCGACTGTCCTGATCACGTAGGTGATTTTGTCGGTCCAGGTACAATCAAGGGTCTCAGGATTTCGGATGAGACACGGATTTACGCTGAGTGAAGAAGTTCTTTATGATCCAAAATATCTACGTGAGTCCACGGCCTCTATTTATAGTATTTGTATTGAGGATGTACTCCAGGGAAAGGCGCGGCATGGGAGGCTTCAAGTTTGGGTTTGCCCTTTCATTTTCCTTTGCAGATCCCTAGGCACGGTGCTCGGCAACGTCTAATGAAGTGTATTGTATCAAACTCTACTTTGATTTGCCTTCTTACGATCTAAGACTACACCATATGGCGCAGACTCTTCATGACTGTACGCAGGTCGAGACTCTGGCATCTTTCCTCTTCTGGGACTTGCTACACTTCAGGAAAGCTCTACTTGACAGACTATTCCAGGATTCTGTATTGTTTGTCAGCAGATAACGACCAAGGTATCTTAAACCGATTCCGCTATGTTGGTGTGGGCAGTCTCCAGTCACCTTACTCTTGGTACGCGAAAAAGAGGTACCGTTATTGGATAGTTTTGTCGTGATTACGGAACATCCATGAGAATGTGACCACTCACCGATTGAGGTCTCGAGCAGAATTCGATGCCGAACACAATTTTCGAGCGCAACCGTTTATTCTCGAGGCAGTGCATAGTGGCCATTACCCAAATGCTGCGTTATTACTGGCTGGTTCTTTACTGAACAACTTTCACATCCATGACTGTTCGCGAGAATATTGCTTGACTCGACTTCGGCGCGCTGTCGTTGATGTATTTCTGGAGACAGAATGACTGGTATAAAAGGATTAAGAAATGCACCGTCTTTTTCTTCACTCCTGAAGTCTTCAGCGGTCTCAAAAAAGTCTCAATACCATGGTCTTCAAACTCGCAGTTACTACTGTTGCTCTCGCTGCCATCGCCGGTGCTGCCAACTTCAGGCGCGTTACGTGCCCTGACGGCAACATTGCCAGCGATGAGGCTGTCAGTCTCTCTCCAAAATTTCCGTTACCAATGAACTTACGTTGGTATATACTAGTGCTGTGCGTTCTTCGCACTTCGCGATGACCTCCAGCAGAACCTCTTCGATGGCGAGTGTGGCGAAGATGTACATGAGTCCTTGCGTCTCACTTTCCACGACGCAATTGGATTCTCGCTGTCTGGAGCCCTCAAGGGCACCGGAGCGGACGGTTCCATGATTATTTTCAAGGACATTGAACCAAACTTCGCCGCCAATGACGGAATTGACGACTCCGTCAACGCACTTTCGCCCTTCCTCACTCGCCACAACGTAACTGCAGGCGACCTTATCCAATTTGCGGGTGCCGTTGGAACGTAAGATTTCACAATATACATGTCTACCGATTTATCTTCGCTCATCGTCGGAATTATATAATTTAGGACGAACTGCCCTGGTGCACCTCGCCTGCAATTCCTCGCCGGACGTCCGAATGCAACTTTCCCAGCTGATGATAACACCGTTCCTCTGCCCCAGAGCGATGTGACGACTATCCTTTCCCGCATGGAGGATGCCGGTTTCTCTCCTGCTGAACTCATCCACTTGCTCGCGTCGCACACAATCGCGCGTTCCGACACGCTTGTTCCTGGTCACGAGGCCGTTCCATTCGACTCCACACCATTCACCTTCGACACTCAGGTCTTCGTTGAAGTCTTGCTCAAGGGAGTTGGTATTCCTTTCGGCGTTAACAACACTGATGGAGCCGAAGTCGACTCTCCCATCCCACAATCCGGAGAGATGCGTCTCCAGTCCGACTTTGCGCTCGCTCGTGACCAGGTCTGTATTTCCCTACGTTCCCCCTTGAGTATCTCATCTGATTCGCGACTGTATCTTCTCTTATAGCGAACGGCTTGCGAGTGGCAGAGCATGGTCAACAATCAACAACTCATGATGTCCAACTTCCAAAGCGCCATGGCCAAACTAGCAGTTGTTGGCCAAGACGTCAGCCAGCTCGTTGACTGCTCCGAAGTCGTACCCGAAGCGACGCCCCCCCTCGGCAAGCCCGCAACGTAAGTTGCCCTAACGTTATCGCACAGTCATCTCATTCACTAAATCACATCATTCGTCGTTAGTTTCCCGGCTGGTACAACCCAAAACGACGTAGAACAAGCCTGCCAGGCCACACCATTCCCAACCCTCTCCACAGACGGTACGTCTATTATTCTTCCGTTCTTCCATATCAGGACCTGGAACAACACTTGACTTATCATTATTAAAATTCTTCAACTCGTACAGCCGGCCCTGCATCCTTGATCCCAGCTTGCCCAGATGGCGACACGGACCTCGACGACTGCCCGTCTTAAACCCGCTCATAACCCCATCTTGAATTTGCCAACACGGCGATGGACGGGTTTATCGGCTAAATTATACGCACGTGTAACCGTATTGTGGTAATCCCGCATGGCCTTTCGTAGCTCACCTTTTCACTTTGTTTCAATCTCTGTGGGGAATATAGGAATTGATTTGTTGTATATCTATATATTGCGTTGTATTTGGAAGCGTGTATATACTTGGAATAAAGAGATAAGGGATTATTTGCATTTCAATATACATAACGGGATAAATGGACATAGTTGCGGCAGGGTGAAATTCCGCCCTGAATGCGGATCTCTGATTCGTTTCGAATAAGATGGACACAATCACGATGAATCGTCTGCTGTGACGGTCGCTAGTAGTAGAATGGCACCAAGGAATGCGCCTTCAAATAATTTGTCTATCCATGACTCGAATGATGAAACAGAGCATGCCATTTTCACAAGTCATAGTATAGTAAAACAATATCTTTTTGCATCTCATCATAGTACATATATCATATTGAATGGACCTCCACTCGGACCAAGACTACACATCCGGCCAAAATTCATTGTCATAGTTCATAAATTGCGTGAATTGGAAACGGCCTTATCCTCAAATCTATGCAATAAAATATTCTCTACTTAGTCACCTTGTAATGCCAGAAAGTGCATATCCCTAAGCACATGCAACAAGCACAATAGTAAATGCAGCATATACATATGCCATCCTACGCCTAAATCGCCTACATCACCTATATCGCCTATATCACCTACTACATATTAACAACCTATCCCATACCATAGTAGTTACTGTAATATCAACATATGTACGTTGCATCCACTCGGCCAAAAAAAAAAGGGCGAGAAAAGACGGAGAAGAGAAACAGATTAAGAAACCGAAACAGTTTCAAAAAAGTAGGTGGCTAGAAGTGATTCAGAAAGAGTGTGTGTGAAAGTTCGTTCGACCAATACGGCAACGCGAAACGAAGGAAGAATAATGGAGGTAAAAGTGGTATGGATATGGGTGAGTTTGCGTGTCGCGCAAGGTAGACACACAAATACAAGGGTTATGAACGACAAGGTGAAATACACGAGTTAAGTTGGTATACAGATCATCCCACAACAGATATGTAAACTAGAGTATTCCATGACTATACCTCATAAGCGGAGGAAGAGGTAGGGATGCCTTAACTACAGTGGAAGCAAGCGCTCGAGCGTTAAGTGAGCCCAGCATCAGTGATATACGAGCGGATAATAGCTTCGCCGACTGCATAAAAGCACGTCAGTCAGCACTAACCTTCATCAAGAGTAAAAGGAAGCAACTGACCATTCACGATGACCTTCTGTGTTGCTTTGATATCCTACGAGAAGAAGAAAATTCACACACGTTAGAACATCCAATCATCATCACTCCAACGACACACGGCGGCGCCCAGAGGATCGAGGGAACTGAGGCGGCCTCGGCGCACGGAAAGGAATACTCACCAACATTGCTGTGAAATGCTGCGAAGATGAGAAATACATGTATCAGGTTCCGCGTTCATATAATTCAGGGTTGTCAAAAAGAAGCGAGACACTTATTACTCACTGCATACAGAGCGCGCTTCGATATATCATTGCGGCGGTGGACTTGGAGAAAGTGTGCTCGGAAATATTCTGAGACCTCCGTATAATTGTTTGGACGATCACCATACGAGGTAATGCTTTGCATTGAAAAAGTCAGAACAAGCAGGGCTGTATGTGAAGAAGGAGCGTACTATTTTCGAACTTTGATCCCTGCAGCAAGTTTCTGTTTCAACAAATCGGTCTGTCGGAATGCGGAACGATCATCAGCCACGATCCGAACGACGCGGGGATTACACATATGATACGGTTCCATCGTACGCCGAATACAACCGCATCATATGCAAACAATGATAAGAACTGAATCTCTTCGTACCTTATTGAGCAGAAGAACAAGATGCGTATTTTTGAGTAACTTGTTGGAGCAGATCGTCGTAAAGAGTTGTAGCGAATCATCGATTCGATTTGTCCGCGGATCTTCTTCCAGATACTGGGGAAAGGCATAGGGAATCGGAATGTCAGCCAGTCCAAATGGGAATATAACCAAACGAAGGGGGCGCCCACCTGATCAAATGCGCTGATGGGAGCCAGGAAGATGATTGCAGTAGCTGGATGGGAATACAGTTTGCAAATGTTAAGGTCAGAGTGGAAGCATAAGCAAGAGAGAGAAAACGACACATGATGTGCAACGCCAACCCAAAAGGAGCGAGACATCACGTCAAAGGAAAGTTCAACCGAAGATGAGAGCGGAAGTATGCAAAGCACAATTGGCACGTTGCATCATGTCGTGTTACGACGGTCCGCTATCGCACCCTCGGAGCCCGCAAAACACGCGTTTCGCGGGCCAGGCGCACATCGAAACGCGATCGCGGAACAGGTCCGAGCCTGGCCCTGTGTCGAAGGCGCCGTGCAGCATGATCTTCGAGAAATTTGGCGTGCTCTGCGGTGGTGCATTGCCCGGCTCAAATTAGAGAGGACCATGGAGCGGGAGATGATGATTGACGGTAAAGGAATATATGAAATAAGCATTACCATCATCAAAGTACGGCACCCACGCGTGACGCTGCCAAAAGTGGAAAGAAGATGTTGATCATCAGAACGACTTCTGCGTGGGAAGCCGGAAATAGAAGAGCGTGCTTGCCTGGCCTCGCTGCAGATTTCAATTGAATATCCCGGCCCAATCGGGGAAAGCGCATAATGGAAGAAGAAATATAGTCAGCAACACGTCATGATAATATACACACGAAGAGAGCACGAGGGAAAGATAGACAAAGCAAGAGATATTACGGCAAGGATGGGGACAAGGGACGGAGCATGGTATGAACGATTAGGCAGGAAGCTGGATCAGGCGTGATGATGATGGGAACAAGGCACTCACAGCACCGCCCACATCGTATAGCAACCAGTTGACATGCGTTCCGCTAAGACTGATGTCAAACGAGTGTTCCTTCACACCCAGCGTCTGCAACCGGACATTCAATATATCCTCTGATAAACGAGCCGTTAATTAAATGAACAAGCGGCGTAATGTATCTCCGTAGCATTGAGACTCACCAGTAGCAGGTAGATAGTCAGGTTCTGCGATTCGATACACGTTCTCGAGGAAACTATGCGAGTGTTCAGTAAATGGGAAGCTGAGGCTGAAGTCCACGATATAACTCACAATGAGGCACTCTCCTCCAGTCTTAACTTACGGTGCTTGATGAGTGACCGCACACTTGGATGCTTCCAAAGGGCGGCGACCTCGTCTTTCGTGGCTGCAAGCATGCGGGCAACGAGGTCATTGACGGGTGGACCACCTGACCCATTACCACTAAATGCTCCTCCCCAACCTCGGGAAGCCATCGGTTGGACTAGACCTTGCCATCCAGAACGAACGTAAACACCTGAACGGCCACCAGCTATGGTTACACCACCATTCAAATCGCGAGCAAGAGCATCTTCGACCGCAACCAATGGTAATAATTTCGTGCGTAACTGTGCGAGATCCTCTTGCCATCCGCCTAACTCATTGCCGCTGGAATTACTTGAGCTACCATTCCCATTCACACCGCTATGTCCTGATGAGGAACCTGCTCCAAACTTATACGCCGCCCCGGATCCGGGTATAGCAGGCAGCTTTCCCCGTGCCGTTTCGGACATATGCGGAAGGGGAGGAGGGGGTGGTGCCGATGCGAGTTGAGGGCGTGCCTGGGTAGGAGACTGCGAGAATTCGTAATCTAACTCTTCAAGAATCATCCGGACTGCCTTGATAATGTTGAAATAGACCACAGGTCGCCATGCTGGGCGCTCCTTATCGAGTTGGTGCGACGCATAATAGAGCTGAAACTGTTTCTGTAATGTTGACTTTCCGGACTCCGCCTGGCCAAGAAGCATCACTGTGACACACAAGCAAGAGATTAATGAGCACATAGTTGAATGTGTGTGAAGTGCGTGGAACGCGCGGAGCCAGGGGAGTAAACGTGGAGGTGAGGTTGTGGGGAGCCATACAGCCGTACAAACGCCTTTCTTCATTGCAGTTAAGGCACTGCTGGAGCATTTCGCGGCTGGAGGCAGATCTGAGTCGCAGAGAACAAGGTGCAGAGCATTCAGCAGTCCCGTCTGGACCCTTGACTGCGCCTGCCCTCCACCCGACGTTGCATGCAAGCAAATAAACCATGAAAGGACAAGCGACAACATACCTTTGACATCCCTTTTCTGACTCTTTTTCCGCCGAAGCATTTCTCTTTCCGCCTGAGGAGTATTGGACGCATCAAGGAGGAGCCAGTTCGGCGCGGGATAGCTGCGGGAAATACATACCTTGAGTTCCTCATCTATCCTATTGCTTATTCGCCTAGCCTCGTCCTCATCGATGCGGCGGACCGGCTGGAGGTCGTTGTAGGAAGTTGCGACAGCCATGGGGAGTAGATGGAGGAAGGAGATGAAGAAAGGAGTGATGAGAAGTGGGAGAGCGTTGGATGTACGAAAGAGGCAGTTCGATCATTGATGCCTGAATGAATAAACTTGCTGATTGGCAGGGTCATCATCATTTATCCGCCCTACTCTTACTCTACTCTACATCCGCTTTCTTTTTATTTTGCCCTCTTCTTCTTCCCCTTTCAGTCCACTCTTACTCAGTAGAAATACAACGTCGTTGTCCATCGACTTTCTTTGTTTCTTGATCGTCCACAGTCCATCTCGTATCCGATCTTCTGCCACAACTATTTTCATCCCTCCGAAAAAATTCCTCCCATCAAACATCTATTTTCCCCACCCGAGACCGATTACCTACTGACCGAAGGGCGCAGAATAATACATTTGAACCAGCCCTCCCGTTTACAACTCTGCACCTGAATATGTTCCTTTCATATTTTCCGTCATATGTTGACTAGGGCCACTAGCGCTATTTTTGCTTTCAATCCTGCAAAACTGTACAGGTTAACCGTATGTTATGAGTCCTTTATTACATAGGGGAGTGTAAAACGCCAAGCCGTACCGTTCGTACCCGAGCTCCGCTACAAGGTACGTGATTATGTCTAAACCTCGGTGCATTTCAAGGACCGTGCTACTGATACTGCTATGCAGATGCCACTTACGGATTTACCTCCATCTGCGGTCAATCAGCTATCTTTTGCATAGCGTGAACGCACTTCCTGCACCAGTCGATCCCTATGCAACTGTGCAGACTGCTACGATTCGTCGCTCGATACCCCATCCAGATGCCTTCAAATCTTGCCACAGAGCCGCGAATACACGTGCATTTCTATACAATACTCGTGGACACTCGGTCAGAAAGCACCGATGATCCAATCATCCCATTCACCTCATACAACAACGTGAGCATGCGATCCACCTGGCAATATCAGGAACTTGATAACTCCTAAACGTTAGCGCCTTCCCCTCCTAAGAATCTCAGATCGATCAACAACGAATTAGACATCTTCCACTCTTCTTTCTGACAGATGCGAGTTTGCGTTAATTGAAACCATGCTTTACTAAAGAGCGCCTCCAGCGGACCTTGTTACGTTTAAGAAAATTAGATGTCGCCTGAGCATCGCAAGGACATGCAAGGGTTTGTGCGCCCTTTAACAACCCTGACTTCGCTCTTAACGCAACTTGGAAATCATGACAGCATTTATTCCTAGCTGTAATTATTGGTAAGTGAGCAGTCTGATGCGCCTCGCATTGAAAGGGTAGCTAGCCTATCAGCGAGTCAGAGTCGGATAAGTCAGGCGGTGGCTAAGGCCAAGAACCACGGAGCGACATCCACTTTGGTTCGCCAGGTTCATTCATTCCATTCATCATCAGAAAAGAAAAGAAAATCTTTCAAGTCCATATCACAAGCGCGACTCGGTTCCCCCGCCTTCGAGGGGCCGAATGACCGACCATCATCCGGTAAAGCAGGCGGGGTATGGTACGCATTCTTGTTTGAACACCGTCAAAACTTAGAAACAACCACGGCGTGGCACGTCGAAACGACAGTCCGACCTGTACCAGTGTATGAAAGTCCTGCTGTGCGGGAACATACGAATGTGCCGGTGTGAACCGGAGTCAAAAGGGACAAGGCACATATCTCATACAGATACCATCTATCATTCCAGCCAGCTTCTCGCTCAGTTTACCTTTAGCATTTTCCTTCCCTAGTCAGAAGCCAAGTCGCGGCCCCTACATGGGCCTTCCGAATCAGCGTCTGGAAGTTTGAAAATCCGGAAGTCTCATTTTAGTTTCGTCCACTCTCACACCCGACACATAGCTGTCCCAGCCCTTTACAGGCACAAAAACATCGTACACTCGACCTCACCTCGCCTACCAGCATGTCAAGCATTGACTCGCATATATCCCAGTAAAGTGTAACTAGATCGCATTTAACCTCCTCGTTTCACAACCATCTAACATCCCGATCAAATAAATAACAATCTGTTGAGTCAAATCTGCTACAGTACTAGTGGCAGCCATGTGGGAACATGGTAAATCGACTGGGGATCATCCAACTCCGACTCGGATTCAGATACTGATGCGACACCACGGACAAACATTTCATTCAGTAAACCTGATCCATAATCAATAGGAAATGAATTAACACAGGTCCTGAAATGAATAAAATAGCCTGTGCATACCACCGTTAGGCATAGTGCATATTCCCTCTCCTCCCCTCTTCACAATCCAGCACTCTTCTACACTAATAGTAATAGTAATAAGCCACGATGGTCTCGCCCACCAGTACTTCATCCCGCGTTCACCCCGAAGTTAAAGTCGCAGACTAGCTCTTCCTGTACTGATGCGCCGATTGTGCTGATGGAAGTGGCTTCTATATAATTTCATTGTTGCCTTGCGGATCTGAATAGACGCCGAAGATTCGGGATTCGGACATACGGTGGATTTTTAGTCTTTACAGTATATGCATAGAGTGGTATTGACCACACAGAACGCAGCAAGCTTTGACGAATTGTCGTTTAACATGGTTTCATCCTTGTAAAATATGCATTCTAAGTCAATTCCATATTGGTTATGAAAGCAGAAGAATAACTGCATTCAGGAAGTATACACACGTTTGCCCAGTACTCCTTACTATTATTCATTCGAAGTACGAGTCCCTTTACTCCTGGAGACCATAGTGTACTCACTGCATAAGCATGACACGCCTTCGTGTATAATCTGACAAGTTCGTTTTATTCACATTACCGGATGTATTTTTTTGTTGGAAGTCGTACTCACTAACGTATGTCAATTGAAGCAGGGCCATATACATCCAAAATGTGTACTAGCAGTGATGGATTACCAGTACTCTTTGTATTCCCTGGCAAGGACTGTGTGTAAACTAGAATGAGCTGGAGTCAGTTATACTCTTCTTTTCCGGATCAGCCTGCCAGCCGTTTGATAGCTGACCTTTCGAGCACTATGAGCAGCAAGCAAGCAAGCAAATAAAGGACCCACATTGCAAATCCATCCTGACACCACCGTAAACACACAGACATAAAGGCCACACGAAACAACGTGTCACCCCAGGACACACCTTATGGACTTTAAGAAGTTAGATAGCATTTAGTACAATATTCACATTACATTGATATCTATACTATACAAACCAATCCACGTAACAGAAAATGCTCTAATACATTCCAATATGCAGCAGAGGAAAGGATAAATGCAGCACGATAACTCGCAAAACGAATTCTCAACGATTCTCAACACGCGGAGCAAGCGGCGTACGTTCCTCAACAATCTTCTGCGTTTGCTCCCTCTTCCCAAAAACTTTCCTCGGACGTGTATCAACGAAGAACTTCACCTCCTCCTCCAGTCCTGCATCGTTAATCTCCGGGACCAGCACGTTCCCCTCTTGGACAGTCTCCTCTTCGTCCTCCTCTAGAACGCCCTGCAGAATATTTTGCGGACGAGAATGCGGTGGTAATAATCCCGAAAGCGTCACATCTCCCTCACTCTCCTCACCAACGACACTACAATCCATATTATCAAATCCCTTCTGTATCGAAACAAGCAATTTCGAAATCGGCGTTGCAGCCACTGGATACCTGTGAGCCGCCGCGGCTGTAGCTTGCCGTAGTGGTGCGGGTGTGACGAACTCAAAGTTCGGTGGTTGGTACGGAGGGGACGGCGGGAGGGGAGTGACACTGGCTGCAAGTTGATCGGATTCTGGTGATTCTGACCGGACCGCTGCCTTGCCTTTGTGAATGACGAGAGGCTTTACACCCACGTATTTCTCTTGGTTCCTGCCATGTCGTTTTGGTGGTGGCGTAGTCGGTGGCTTAGCCTTCGGGGTTTGTACGTCCTCCGTAATGACCGCTTCGTTCGATGATTCAACGTTCTCAGAGGTGACACCCTGCTGGGCACTGCTAGGCAAGACGGTGTCAATCGGCGCGTCAACGTCTTTGGACGGAATATCCTGAGCAGGTTCTTGCTCCATGGTTAACAATTCACCTGGCGGAACACTCTGCGGTTCGCTCGCGGAATGACTCTCGGAAATATTCTGCTCAACGCGTTCTTCTGGAGTTGCTGGCTTCGGCCTCGGTGTCTCCTCGGTCGGCGCATCTGAACATGGCGGCTCTTTATTACTTTCTGTCGGATTCTGTGCCTGGTGTTGTCCCCGCGATTCCAGTTGAACAGGCAACTCCGGGTTCTCGGCTCTACGCTTCCTTTTGTCCTGTTTACTCCGCCCACTCTTTGACTCTTTTACACTCTTTGATGGTCGAGCTTCCTCTTTGTCCTTCTTAGACCTCCTTTGAGGCTCTTCATGTCGTATCGGATTAGCCGGATTCGAGCTGGGGTGGCTGTGTTGCCTTTCTTCCTTTGATCTCTTTGAAGGCTGTTCCGCTTTTAAGTGATCCGCTCTAGGTTCCAACTTCGTATGGGTTCTCTTTTCTGCCTGTGATATAGGTCTTGGTACGTCTACATTCGCTCGCGAAGGCGGACGGGCGTGTGCTTGTCTATCAGCAGTTTCGTGTATTTCGATCTTAGCTCTTGAAGTTGGTCGAGGACGAAATTCTCCTCCAGCCCTACTCGCAGGTCGGACCTGAGGCTCTCTGATTGGCTCAGGTTCTGCGGTCTTTGGTGGTTTGTTATCCATCCTAGAGGCGGGGCGTGGACGGAACTCCCCGTCTGTCCTACTCGCAGGCCTTGACCGACTGTCCCTCTCCTCCTCTTCCCCTGTTTTACTGCTTGTCGAAGACACGAATTGGGACGGCGGACGAGATCGTGCATGACTGGTTGCGTTTGCAATCGCTGACGTGGAAGACGACGTAGACGACGCGAGACGTGCCCTTTCCCTTTCTCGCTCCTTCACGCTCTCCTTCAAATTGTTTGTTTCTGGAGCTGAGGAGTTGGGTTCGGGGACAGGCTTAGGAACTCTGCGGGGTCCGGTCTTGATGCGTTCCGTCGACGACGACGAATCGACAACCTGAGGCTTTGACACGGGTTCTGCAACATCTAGTGCAGGTGATGGTTCTGAAGGAGTCGGTGCCCTTTCAGGACGCTGTGCACCACTATTTGAAAGTGGTTGGCTCTTAGACGAGTCCATCATGTTTTGTGTGGTTGCCTTCAAAGCCTGTCGCGAGAGCAGCGTGCGACGAGTTGGAAATGAGGGTGCTGCGGCCATTGCTTGGCACACAGACGGAGGCGGACGAATTGGACCTGAAGAAGGTATGCGATGGGGTGGGGGTGGCATCGAGCTGCTCTCCGTTGCACGTGCAGCGACTGGTGGGTTCGTGCTTTTGGTAACCTTCTCAGCTCGTTCGGTTGGGATGGAACTTGTGCTAGAGCTCTTTGCATGGCCCTGGGTGGAAGGGTGCGAATGTGTCATGATGTCCACCGCTTTAGATGTCGGAGGTAAGGTAGGTGCAGAGGTTGAGGCCGAGAGGAGCAGTGGCTTGCGCTGACCCGCAGGTGCAGCCTTAATGTTTAGATACTTTTTCATCGTTGGTGTCAGAGGAGCGATAAACCTTTTGACAAATCAATAATCGTACAGTTCAAAGAAATAAGATAGAATAAACTTACGAATCTAGTCTGGAAGGAAAGAGGATCTTATAGGCTTCAAAGGCCTTCCGGCTACTCTTGCGAACGTCGGCGCTGGCGTCTCTTGCAGTAGCCCGTATGACTGCCTCAATGTCCTCCGCTCTGTTCGGTGTCTCGAGGTCCGGCGGGTTGTAGCAGTTGAGGCAAGCCACAACGAGGTCTGTGGCTGTTAGACGAAGATTAACCGACTTGTCCGAAACGGCATGCCGGAGAAGAGGAAAAATTATAGGAGACTGGACATTCTCGACAATTGCCAATAAGCATGCTTTGGCTCTTGCGATGAATACCTTGTTAGATCGAGATGCAAGCGAGAGGAGAGTCGGTACGAAAAGAGGGATGAGAGTTTCAAAGGGCCGTCGGAGGTGAGTCGCAAGCGTAGTGAGCACATCCGTGGCACAGCCCGACAGCCTCGAACGCTCCGAGTTGAGAGAGTTGATTATGGGCCGTGCGAAGGATTTGAATGCTGTTATGAACTGTGATGGAAAATCTGCAGCAGAGCCAACTGCCAAGGCGTTAAGACGGAGAAGGGCATTGGATATCTTGTTCCAGCTATCCTCAGTTTCGGTGAGTTCAAGACCGGCCCGGACTTCGCCAAGCTCATAGTCAAGTATAGCTCGGGATGAGCAAGAAATTACTGAAGGAATTTTAGGGGCCATTTCGGGGAGATGGATGGCCAGGAGAGAGAGAGAGTTAAGGAGGAGGCAGAGCCGCGAAAGACGCACGCGAATCGACAAAATCAACTGAGACGCGTCATGTGATCGTGAGTTTCTATTCTTGGGTCCGTGGCCATCAAGTTTTGCTAGTAGTATAATACTCTTATATACGAGTGATTACTCATGGAATTTCAGCGAATAGTGTAAATATATGGGCGATAATTTTAATTTTCTGTGAGAGAGTAATAAATATATGGTACGAGATGACGTAATCTGATTTAAATCTGCACCCGTCGCAGTCACGTCGATCGCTCACTGCTCTCTGCTCTGTGCTTACCTGCACTCAGTAGAGCCGTCATCTAATGGCATTGGCAGCCCCCGCCCAGCAGGCCAATGTCCATCAGCTATACAAGCGTCTCGAGACAGTAGGCAAGGGCGCCTATGGTAGCGTGCACAAGGGCATCGAGATAGCGACGGGAAACGTCGTCGCCCTCAAGATCATCAACCTCGACACGGCAGATGACGACGTCGCAGACATTCAGCGCGAGGTCGCTCTGCTAACCCACTTGCGCGATGCAGTCAATATCACGCGCTATTATGGCTGCTATTTGGATGGGCCGAGGGTATGGATCGTGATGGAGTTCGCACAGGGTGGATCGGTGCGGACGCTAATGAAGGCCTGCAAAAATAATATTCTTCAGGAGCGGTACATCGTCATCGTGGTCAGAGAACTGTTGCTTGCACTGTCGTCGTTACACAAAGCCGGTGTTATCCATCGCGATATTAAAGCTGCTAATATCCTTATAACGGCTGCGGGAAAGGTCATGCTCTGCGATTTTGGTGTCTCTGCGTTGCTTGTTACCTCTCAATCCAAGCGTAACACACTAGTAGGCACGCCTTACTGGATGGCTCCAGAGGTGGCCCAACCCGTCCCGAACTATGATACAAAGGCTGATATCTGGAGTCTCGGCATCACTATCTACGAGATGGTCACCGGTAGTCCACCCCACTCCAACCTTGATGGACTGAAGGTCGTTCAGCTTATTCCACGGTCAAAGCCTCCGCGCTTAGCAGAGAATGAAGGGAGCAGGGAACTCAGGGAATTCACGTCATCCTGTCTACGCGAGTCACCAGCAGAACGACCGTCCGCTGACGAGTTGTCGCGTACCAAGTGGATCAAAGCGACCACGAAAACACCTGTGTCCGTCTTGAAAGAACTACTTGCCCAGTATGATGCATGGCAGAAAGCCGGCGGTACACGCGCGAGTATTGCAGAACCACTAGCATGGGAGGAAGAGGAGGGGTGAGCAAAGGAAACGATATCACATCATCTATTACTAACGTGTCTATGCAGAGAGTCACAAGAACGCACTGCAGACAGCGAGCAAGAAACATGGGAGTTTGACACTGTCCGAGCGCGTTCGGTGGTCGGAACTGATCCACCAGCGGACGATTCAGAAACCCATCGGTCACCTCCACTTAATGCACGAGTGCCTACCTCACTGCGTGGATTATTTGGCGATGACAACAGCAACATGGCACCCAATCCCTTCGGCCTACAAAATGCCTGGTCTCGGAATAATACCCCAACACCTCCTGCAGGTGTATCAATACCCACTCAACCATCTACACCTCAAGCACAAGCACAATCAAGTCCAAGCCGTGGACGTCCAATGCCGAGACGCGCAACTACAGCGAATGATGATCATGCGGCGGAAGAGATGGCTCGACACACAAACTTTGTCTTTCCTCCTCGTCCTGCAGCTACTATCCGCGCAAGGTCAAAGCTTTCATCATCCGTTCCATCTTCCGATAACGAGAGTGCCCCATCATCTTCACCTGAGCGAACCACTCGACTCCTTCCAATGGGTCCAGCTCACGGTCACGGACGTGGGATTGGAGACGCGACGATGAATTCTGGTTCGTTCCACGTAAAGCCTCCTTCATCTTCTAGCGACGTATCTCAAACGGGCGCGAGCGGTGTCGTCGGAATGGGTGGGAGCACGATCCGACCTTCTCCAGGTTATCGTGAGGTACGCACATCGCGCGGTGTACCCAACATTTCCATCCCGCCTGCCAATTTGCACGGTGGACTCGGCATGTCCGTCGATGCCTCGTCATCAGGACTTCCTGTAACAGATGAAGTGCCTCCACAAGAATCTCCTACGCGCCAACGTCCGCTTTTCGGGAGGAAGCGCAGTCAGAGTAGTGCAGCGACTTCTACTCCCTCCTCCGCTTCACCCGGCCGGCATCGTAACCCTGCTTTCCCTCATGATTTCCACTTCCCTCCTGTTTCAGCTACTGCAAACCTTGCCGGCCCGAGTCTTCACTTGCCCGTCTTACCACCTTCTCGAGCGAGTAATTCGTCTGGTGGGAGTGAACCCGGAAGGAGTCCTGGTGCGCACCAAGTGACGTACTCACTTGATGCGTATCGTGAACCTGGTTCTGCTGGAGTGATAAGGAGTAACAATGGAGGGCTAGATCTGCCACCTTCCATATCACGCGTACATAGTGCTAATGCACTTTCTGAAAGCTTACCTTCACCAGCTGCTTCAGGAACAGGTGGCCAGATGCCACGCAGGCTAAGTATAACTCGCCAAGCAAGCGTAGCAGTTATGGAATCTATACGAGGTCCACCTGGGTCGAACCCAAGCCCAGAACGTAGTAGTAACGAATCAACGATGACACCAATACCAGGATTGAAAGATGTGTTGAAGGTACCCTTGGTCACTTCGGAAATGCGATTAGGAATGACAGATTTGTTACCTCCCTCGCCGAGTGCTGCATCTTCGAGTAGGAGATTCTTCGCCCCTGCACCGAGTTCGTTGAGTACGAGTATCACTCCCGGGTCTGACCCGGAAAAGATTACTGGTGTGGGAGGGCAGCCATCGCCTGCATTCGCACAGAATATGACAACACGTACCGCACCATCCTCACCATCCATGCCGACAGCCTTCCCCTCCGGCGTAAAACCAAACGGCATCCCCTCTCCTGCCGAACGCCAAGCAACGGACAATTCCGTCTCTACGTCTTCATCAAACACAACATACGCCTCTTCTTCCCAACGAACGCACTCACATTCGCACACAGCGTCTTCAGCTTCGAGTATCATATCCAACCCTGCTGGTGTAGTTGGAGGAGGTGGAGTTGGGATGGGCCCACCTGTGAGACCACTAGACTTCTCACTACTGATGGCAAGCCATGAAGCTACGCACGCTGCACTCGCACGTACAGTTGACGATCTCGTCCAATGGCTTGGAGTTGTCGAGACCGGCCTAAGTGCGGTTCTCGAACGAACGTCGTCGTCATCATCGTCTAATACTACGCCATCCTTCCCTATTGTGGACGATAATACCTACTCGGATCAAGTACATATAAGTGTACCCGAAACAGAAAACGCGAATGCAAACGAAGGATATCCTGAAACGACCCACTCAGCGAGGAGCGATACCCTAGAGTTCCCAGATGCAGAAGAGGTTGACCTGAACGAAGAAATAAATCTTGACGCAAGTGAAAGCGCTATCGACTCGTTCGAGCACTTCCTTGCAAAGATGGCGAAGCACGAACGAGACATGGGTGGAGGCGTTGGAAGCGGTAACGATGAAGAAGACCGGGGTAGCGGTAGCAACAGAGAATTCGACGGACATGTTCAAGATGGTAGTGGTACTGGTAGGAAAGATGGACCTACGAACTCAAATGGACTTTTACCGGACAAGATTGACGTTGTTAGTGCTAATGTTAGTGTCAATAGTGCTCTTCCACAAGCTGTTCATGTATCATAGCTTTGTTTTCCATTGTCCATTGTTTTCTTGTGATTTTAGCTGTTTTTGCCTTCTTATATCCTTCTCATTCTTGTGTCATATATCCAATACGTCCATACCATTTTCCCAATTTCAATTCTCTTGCTACCGTCTACCATCTATTGTCAAACCTAAGTTGCGGAGTCTACGCAAGTATGAGAGGCGGGACGAATGAGTGCAAGGTATTGCTAGATAAATCCATGTTGAAGGAGATATTCCGTGATAATCTTCACACTCTCGTTAACGTCCACCTCTGCTGTCTTTATATGTATCTCTGGGTTTACAGGTTCCTCGTATGGCGCAGATATACCCGTAAAGTCTACAAGCTCATGAACAGTCTCATCAGCCGCACTCAACAAAACACGAAGGAAGACGCATAGAACGAAGGGATAGTATAACATACAGGCCAGTAATAACAAGTAAAAATACGAACCTTTAATCTCACCCGCCCTCGCTTTCTTATACAGCCCCTTCGGATCACGCGATTCAACGACCTCAAGTGGGGCATCCACGAATACTTCAATGAAGGGTATGTTAGACTGCGCGTGGAGAGAACGAGCAGTATCACGATCGATACGATAAGGAGAGATGAATGCTGTGATGGCGATACACGCTGCGTCTGCGAAGAGTTTCGCTACCTAGCCATATGAAATAAAGAACGTTAACATTTACCCTCTCTCTATTTTTGATAAGGGAAGTGTGAAAGTGTGAATAGAGGGCTACGCACCTCCCCAATCCGTCTAATATTCTCATTTCTCGACTTCTCATCAAACCCGAGATCTTTGTTCAGCCCGAACCGAATATTGTCCCCGTCGAGCCTATATGCGAATTTCTTGAGGTAGAGGAGGTGCTGTTCGAGCGCACAAGCGATTGTTGACTGTAAAGTGAATTCATTGAATTCACTTTTTTGCGTTTAAGACACGAAGAGAAAGAGGCAGCTACCTTCCCGCTAGCACTAAGTCCCGTCAACCAGATTGTGATACCCTTTTGCTGTAAAAGCTGCGTGCGCTCCTCTGAACCCACTGATCCTGAGAGATCCTCATAAAATCAATCATCATGTCAGTAAGAAATTGGAATAGGCGAACCTGTATGAAATGTAATGTTAGTCGCCATCTACAGTAGTTACGAATACTCTTTTACAGCTAGAGCTTGAGGTATAAGAAGAGAAAGGTGCTAGCTCGATAGTAATATCGATGCCATGACGGAAGCGGTCGATATGTATTCTTGTAGAGCATGATACGTGTAGAGTGTGCAATTATGACGTGACCAGCAGTGAACAATTTTTTAGACTTCAAGTTCGATACAGCCTTGGGCGGTGATACTCGGCTTCGGGTAATAGAATAAGTACTTATTATTGAATGAGTGACTTGAATTCCTCTTGAAAGTCACAAGTGGAAAAAGACCGAAGCGAGCCGTCAATCCAGAATTTTCCAAAATAAAATAAAATGCGACAACAGTAAATTTAGCAGCACGTGCCTCGTTCCTTGTGAGTCACTGATCTCGCTCGATGAGCCCAAGATGTATGCTCCTCCGTAGGCTCTCTCTCTTCACTCGTTTCTCACATACCATGGCCTACAATCCATACAAAGGCGACTGGTCATCACGCAAAGTCCGTCAAACATTCTTTGATTACTTCAAAGAACGCGGTCACACGTACGTTCAAAGCTCGTCAACAATCCCTTATGAGGACCCAACACTTTTATTTGCCAATGCTGGCATGAACCAGGTGAGTTCTTCAAGGATGTGAAATGTTTGCGATGGCGGAGTGTTAATATAATTTCTGGCATAGTTTAAAGCCATCTTCTTGGGTACGGTTGATCCGAACTCGGAAATGGCAAAATGGAAACGTGTTTTCAATTCTCAAAAGTGTATTAGAGCTGGTGGGAAGCATAATGGTACGTCCAAATATTATCGTTGTCCTCGTCACGTCTAACCTGCGAATGTAGACCTTGATGACGTGGGCAAAGACTCATACCATCATACTTTCTTCGAGATGCTTGGAAACTGGTCATTCGGTGATTACTTCAAGGTCAGCTTAATTTACCTCAAACTTATTTGGTGCCCTATCTGACTGTGCATCCCCGTCAGAAAGACGCTATTACTTTCTCATGGCAACTCCTAACCGAAGTGTACGGACTACCAAAAGACCGTTTGTACGTCACGTACTTTGAAGGTGACCCAAAGAACGGCCTTGAACCAGATGACGAAGCGCGAGAATACTGGAAAGCACAAGGTCTCCCAGACTCACATATTCTAACCGGAAATGCGAAAGACAACTTCTGGGGTATGCTTTCCTCCCTTCATATATATTCTTCTTGAACTCAATTAATGAATATGACTTTCAGAAATGGGAGCAACCGGTCCCTGTGGTCCCTGCAGCGAAATACACTACGACCGAATCGGCGGACGAAACGCCGCACACCTCGTAAACCAAGACGATCCAAACGTGCTCGAGATCTGGAACAACGTCTTCATCCAATTCAATCGAGAATCCGACGGCTCACTTCGTCCTCTCCCAGCGAAACACGTCGACACAGGAATGGGCTTTGAGCGTCTAGTCTCTGTCATCCAAGACCGTTCGTCGAATTACGACACGGACATTTTTGAACCTCTTTTCAAACGCATACACGAGCTTACTGGTGTAAGACCGTATGAAGGGAGATTTGGGAAAGATGATGAGGATGGAGTAGATATGGCATATCGTGTTGTCGCCGACCACGTTCGAACTCTCTCATTTGCGCTTGCAGATGGTGGAGTACCGAATAACGTTGGGCGCGGGTACGTCCTAAGACGGATCTTACGACGAGGTGCACGGTACGCACGTAAGAAACTCGGTGTCCAAATCGGCTCGTTCTTCTCGTCGCTCGTACCAACCGTCGTCGAGCAACTCGGCGACGTCTTCCCAGAACTGCACAAACGAACAGACGAGATCAAGGAGATCCTCGACGAAGAGGAGGAATCGTTCGCTCGAACGTTAGATCGTGGAGAGAAGTTATTCGAGCAATACGCTTCAAAGGCTTTACAATCACCTTCTAAAACTCTCAACGGTGAAGACGTATGGCGATTATACGATACGTTCGGTTTTCCTGTGGACTTAACATTGTTGATGGCGGAAGAACTCGGTCTTGGGATTGATCAAGAAGGCTTCGACAAGGCACAGGCGAAGAGTAAGGAAGCGAGTAAGGGAGGAGTGAAGAAGGGTGATAAAGACCTCGTCAAGCTTGACGTACACGATATCGCTTCACTCGACAAGAACGATACCGTGCCAAAAACGAACGACGATGCGAAATTCAACCTCGGGAATATCACTGCGACAGTAAAAGCGATCTACCATGACAAATCCTTCGTCAATCATACCGGCGCTATATCGGAGGATACGACGTTTGGGATTATTTTGGACAAGACTAACTTTTATGCTGAGGCGGGTGGACAGGAGTACGATACAGGAAGTATCACAATTGATGGTGTTGCTGAATTCGAAGTGACAAACGTCCAATCATACTCTGGTTACGTCCTACACACGGGAATCTTGAAGTACGGCCGTCTATCAGTCGGTGATGAAGTGATAGCTACATACGACGAGGTACGTTTCCTTTCCCTGCAAGTTGCAGTCTTTATTTATCTAATGTACCATCTATAGCTCCGACGATGGCCATTACGAAACAACCACACCGCAACACACATCCTCAATTTCAGCCTCCGAGAAGTCTTAGGCGACCACATAGACCAAAAAGGCTCACTCGTCGCACCAACCAAGCTCCGCTTCGACTTTTCTCACAAATCCCAAATCTCACCAACCGAATTACAGAAAATCGAAGACATGAGCATAGACTGGATTAAGCGAGACGTGAAAGTATTCAGCAAGGAATTGGATTTGAAAAGCGGGTATAAGATTCCTGGGTTGAGAGCTGTTTTCGGGGAGGCGTACCCTGATCCTGTGAGGGTTGTGACGTTGGAGTACGACGTCGAGGAGATTGCGAAGGATTTGGAGAACTCCAAGTGGAGAAAGACGAGTATCGAGTTTTGTGGTGGGACGTGAGTCAAACTCACATTTTCCTCTACATACCTTTTTGATTTCGTGACATTAATTCAAAATCTTCGTACAGACATGTTGCGAAGACAGGAGACATCAAAGGCTTCGTCATCGTCGAAGAATCAGGTATCGCAAAGGGTATACGACGAGTCACCGCCGTTACAGGACACGAAGCCGCAGACGTAACGCGACAAGCGAAGACCTTCACTGCGACGCTCGATAAGATCGAGAAAGCCTCCGGCAAGGAGAAAGATGTGATGTTAAAGACGTTCCAAGTTGTATGTACTGTTTGTTTTTTTGGCTATTCTTGTTGTCTGCTGTTTGTCTTGAGTTAACAGACTGATCTTCCTTTTGTCCCTAACAGGAACTCGGTCAAGCAGATATCTCCGTACTGAAGAAAAACGAACTACGAGATCGACTCGCTGCAATACGCAAGGCGTTCGATAAGCAGACGAAGGAGCGAGAGCAGGCTTTGCAAAAGGCTGTACGTACACCCTCCTACTTCCACGACTTTAGTAATCCGTGTTGGCTTAACAACTTCATATACGACGTTTGTGAATAGGAAATCGAGAAGTTGACAGAGTTCTTCAAAGCGAACCCCAACGCAAACGCCTACTTTGCGATACTTGATGTAGAGGGCAACGCCAAGGTAAGTCTTACATCCCATCCTCCGATTCCTTTAGCTCATATAATCCTAATCTCTCTTGTTAACCGACACACGATGCAACAGATTATCGGATCCGTCATAACCCAAGCCCGCAAACTTTCCAAAGCGGCCTACCTCTTCAGCATCGACACAGAGAACAACAAAGTGACGCATGCAAACCACGTCCCTGAAGCGTTCCGACGCGGGGAAGACTTCAATGCGAAGACGTGGTCCGCTGGTGTGGTGGAGGTAATCGGTGGGAAGGTAAGCATCTGATCCTTGTTCTTTTCCCCTTTTACTAATTTAGTTTTATGAACTTACAGGCTGGAGGCAAAGACGAAGGCTGCCAGGGCGTCGGCGTGAATACCAATAAAGTCCAGGAAGCTCTTGACGTTGCAAAGCAGCTATTTTCGAAAGTCGGTTAGCTACCTCTGAAGCTATCCTGACATCCAGACATCGAGGTATTCAGGCCTGGTGCAACGAAGTAGTAGATGGCAAGGGGTTCCTTAGATTCTACATCATAGGAATGGGGCCATTCCGTGCACTGATGTGAAGAAGCAGTATACATAAGATACATCCTGTTTTACTAGATCTTATTCAATTCATTAGCTAGTAAAATCTTACAATCAACTAGAACAGCAGTAGCACACTCTGGATGAGAGAATGCAACCTATTTCAGTAACTAGCTGATAAAAACATCACGATTGCGTGCCTGTGTCCAACTTCAGCATTGATGAATTACCTGCATAGGATCGCACGTTCGTTCTACAAAGATACAACTCACCACCAAGAAAAATTCCTATCAAAGTCTTCAAGTCATCATCTTATACCCGGAGACCTCGGGTCTATACTAACGCCTATATTTACCATATCATATCTACTACTATACTTACCGACCGATATCACAATCATGATCAGTAGATAGGTACTACCTCATCTCAGTTTACAACCTCTCCGATCCACACGCCAACTGATTAACAACTCAACAGTAACACTATGCACATCATCGACCTCTTGTGCAGTGTATCGATGCATAACTATGTAACGCTTAACGCTTAAAACACCGATCTTCGTAGTGCACAATGGACACAAACGTGTATCACCGTAATGTTCATCAAACACTATTGTAAATTCATAATTAGCCCACTGCACAGTCCATGTGTGGCTGGCTGGATCGGATCATATTAAATATTCTCTGACTCTCTCGGTTCACTACCATTCGGTCATGGATACCACTTGGACATCTTCGCATGCTGACATGTTACTGCAATGTAAAACGCGAACACTGGCGTTACTCTAACATTGGTGTCGATACCAACGTCTTAAACATTCTTGTTTACATGCAATCACACAAATCTCAGTCCGGTGGTCATTATCTCGTTGTTCTCCATTCGTATCATCAGAGGCTAAATTCCAAAAAAGTAAAATCAAAGAACGACGAGAAGTTAAGGAACGGAAAGAAGGAAAAGAACGGAAAGTATAAACGAGTGGACATCTGGAAGGTCTGGGCTCATCTGTTACGACGGCAAATCTACGCATGAAAAAGATATCACCGAGAAAACGCATGTCCATCTGCGTGCACGAACGTGGAAATGCAATTCGCACCATCTATACCCTTTGAATTGGTCGAGGCAGAACGTAGCAGGAGTGAAAAATGCATCGTTATATGCATGTATGCACGTCAAAAGAAACACAAAAAAGAGGCATATTACGGAGAGTCAAATTATAAGTATGTCACAGATACATAGAAGCGGAAAACAAAAACAGAGAAAGTATGAAGACGGGAAAACAAAGTCGATGTAGCAAGGGTAAACCGAGAAAAAAAAACTGAGAAGGTGCGTTCATCGAGTAGCGGAAACAGTAAAAGAATGAAAGGGAGGAGGCGGCGAAATAACGGATAGGCTAAGAAAAGGTAAGAGGGTAAGGGGAGATGGAAGCAATTCCATCTAACAAAGTCGCAAGCAGACAAATAGTACAGGAGAACACTAGATCGACATATTCCGTTTTCTGAATCGGTCCAAGGGAAGCGACGACCACGATAACGTAAATCACCATCGTGCCATTGCACCAACAGAACGACTCATCGTTACACCCAGAAATAATGAAACCTACTCGCATGTATCATATACCCGCGAACACAGGATCCAAAGCGATCACAAGAGGCCGCATTCCCGTAAGTGTAGTTGTAACAGGATGTCCTGAATGGCGCTCAAGACGACTAAAAGGCAATAGGCATCAATGAAATTGTCTGCAAATTAATCTCTCACGCTACTAATGATGGTACTCACACTTGATCTGCTGGGTATCAGTCGCACAGGTATAATGGGCGTAAATCTGTTTTGTCGCCGCATTCTGATTCAAGGAAACGAATCGATGAAGGAGGTATTCGCAGGCAAGGTCGTAATTATCGCCACCATTATAGTCTGGGAAGTAATCGCCAAGTGGGGAATGCGGGAGCTTCTCCGCAAACAGATCGATCTTGTTCAAGAACAAAATCTATTCAAGTTTGAATTGTGATTGCACCAGTGATGGTGAGAAACGATCATGTCGGGGCATGACGAAATTAATGTGGCACTTACGATTGAAGTCTTGACGAACCAGCGCGAGTTGCAAATGGAGTCGAAGAGCGTGAGCGCCTCTTGCATTCGGTTCTAGCACGGTGCGGGGAAGGTTGAGTCTCGTCGCACGCCACAGCTAAAAATAGACCGCAAAATAAAACACATACCACACTCTCATCCTCATACAACATTTGGTCGTACTCGCTCAGGGACACGAGGAACACAAGAGCTGTTACGTTCTCAAAACAGTGAATCCACTTCTTCCGCTCACTCCGCTGACCGCCGACATCAAACAGTCGGTAAGTAAGCTCGCCAACCCGGAACATGGTCTCAGTGATACCAGTCGTCTTGACACGAGACCGGAGGATATCCTGGTCGGTCGGCAAGTAGTTAGGGTCGGCCATTCGTTCAATTTGGTTGAAGTAGCTAGAAGAAACCATTCAGTTGCTAAGGAACGGAATAAATGAACTGTAAACACATGTTCAACTCACTAGACGGCAGAGTCATTGAGTTGGAATTCTCGACTCCTGCGGACCGCTTCCCTCACACCAGGATCTCGCCAGAGACCACGGATAGCATCGGCAACATCTCGTGGTAAATATGTTGTTTCAATCTGACCAGGGAGCGAGAGAACGATATTGCGGCGGGCATCGTTTTGCGGGGAGAGCTGGATTTCCAGCTGAGGCATTGCCTCTAGGATGGCACTACAAAGAATAAAAATCAGTAATCAAGGAAGAGGCGCGGTTGACGGTTGAAGGATGAAGAGCGGGAAATCCTCAGAAGCATTTGTCTCGGAGTCCTCGGAGGAACCCACCCGATCGCAACAAACCACTTCTGACGCAAAAGAAAACAAGAACTGGGAAAGGGAATGCATACCGCATGGACTGAATCGTATTAGAGAAGATAATTTCTTTGTATGAATCTCGCTCTTGTTCATTATACCCGCCATGGTGAATAAGTTTCATCTGCTTCAAGACCGTCGACTGGCAGATGGCAAAAACACGGTCAACAGTCAGCCGGGCCCCAGCGTGCAAGGCCCCAAAAAACAAATAGACAGACCTTGCCCGATTCACCAGCACCAAGTAACAACATCTTGATTTCATTCTTCGCGAGCATGCGGTCGCGCTTCAACTGGTTCTCGATCTCGTCATTTCCTGCATACCAAATGGCGGTGGCGTAAGCACATAGCGAAGCATTGGCAATATAGGAAAAATACGCACGGGCCTTGGCCTCTTCATCGATGATACTTGACTGGGCACAACCCATTTTTGCAAAGAATGCTTGGTTGAAAGGGCGATGAACGGGAAAAAAAGTCTGAGCACTTAGGGAAGGAAGGGAAAGTGCGGATTAGAGATGGTACAGAGAGTTCCCTGGGACAATTAAATAAGTCTGTGCTCGTTGGGTGGAACGACGACGACGACGACGACAACGAGAGGACGGGGGGGGAACGTCGACGACAGTGGAGAGGATGAAGTGGAAAGAGGAAGATAAACCGTAAGCGAGCCGGTCTGCGCCTAGCATCTGCCTTGCCGAATCCGGAGTCTCAATAATTTCCATTCTGGGTATAAAGCTTCCCGGCTCGCTTACCAAGCAGGCTGCCGCATTAATGTCGTCCTTTGAGAGGCTTTTCACGCTTGAAACAGTCCGGTAGCCTAGGCAGCTGACCCTGCTGAATCTGACCCTCATTGTCCCAATCCAGTCCATATCCTCTCATTCTTTGTTCTCTATTTTCATCGCCTACTGCGTCTGTATTCTAGTCGTCTTGGTAGTCGTAGAGTACGTGTGTGTGTGTAAATACTACTATAGCGTTGCAAGGATTAATGATGCGAGAAACTACTAATAACATTGCGTATCGATACACCGAGAGACCGGGGATTGATCAGAGGAAGAATCCCAGGGAAAACTGAATCGTAATTGAATACAAATGCTGCTGCCTTTGCAATTAGCGCGCCACCTGACAGACTCCCATCATCATCATTGATAGAATAGACATTCCCAGCGGTATGTATGCACAAGCGCAGAGACACCGCACCGCCAGCTGCCACGCCCAGCCTCGCCAGAAGCGCAACTGCACGAGATCGCACCTGGCCGCGGCCAGAGACAGGGCCAGAGAAAGCCTGTTCATCACGAACTTTGCACACCGACGAGCGAGACCGTCGAAGTCCGACATTGGCAACAGATCCCGATCTAGACGCCGATCTAGACACGAGCACGTGCTTAGATGGTCGGCGGCGAAGACGCTGCTCCGAACCCAAACTAACGAGACTACGAAGGACCGCGCGAAGGATCACGAACATGTCTTGTGCAAAGAACCCAATCACATGGATCAGCCCACAAATGTCATACCAGTGGCACGTTGCAAGGAATGTTGCAAGGGGCTAACCTACCTGTACCCATGTTGCGACGTTTGATGCAGGGTCGCATAGGGGTGTGAGGGAACATGCATCGTCGCTTGCTGTGGCTGCTGCTGTCTCGAGTTTGTGTTCCAGCCGCTATATTCGTCTCGCGCCGCGCTCTGTGGGGTCATGACTGAGAGAAATTGCCCTGAAGTTGAGGCACGCGCGGTACGACTAATGGACGAGATTGGAGGATCAGGCAAGATAGGTGGCCCCGAAGGCGGCGGATCGTTCAACTGCACCGGAAAACGTCGGCTCATGTCAGAATGCGAACCAGGCCTATAGCTGTTTATGCTCATTCCTGCCTGAACAAGCGTAGACACGGGTGCGGGTACCGAAAGTCTCGTACTCTGCACGGACGGCGTTGGGGCCAAACTCCGTACAACAGGTATCGGGGACTCAACGGAACTCGGAACGACCACATGATGCCGAAGCGGATCCGACTTGTGCATCCCGCCAAACCGCTCTTGCGCAAATTTCTTGTTCTCGTGGAACCACCTCCAGTTTGCATGACTTGTCAGGGCGTACTCTGCCTCAGTCATCCGAGACGTCGGACGTGCGGATGTGGTACTAGCCGGCCAGGGCTGCGATGGCACATGCGGTAGACCCGGACTGCTGACTGGCGCACTTACAGCTTCAAGGGGTTCTTGAGGTGAAACATACGGTTGCTCAGTCTGCTTCCCTTCGGGCATAATTCCATATTCGGCCCCAGGTTCCGGCAGAGAAGTCCTAATGCTGGCCCTGTGTTTCGCCTCCGGAATCAGCCGGTGCCCTAACTGGATGACGAAATAATGACTTACAAGAATCTTCGGGCCATGATCCAGCGAGACTCTGCCATTTCGAGACAACGAATGCATTTCTCTACGTCCTGCAAATACTTTTCACGTTCTCTTAACCTTGCGGATGGATCCACGTCTCGCGAGCCAGATGCGGTGACTTGAGCAGCATGCATGCTCATCAATTGTGTTACAGCAGCTATATGTGCGACGCTGACCATGTTCGGGATATTTGACAATCCTCGACGCATTTGTGCATCAATTATACGGACTGCAGAATGTGCTGCGCTGGTACAGATTGAGTCCGCGGGGAAGGGGAACGTCTTGTTCGGTCGAGCAGGGGCATCTTGTTGTGGTTCCGGAAGGAGCGCAGATGCATGGCTGAATGGTCGATAGATGAGAATGAGTGCGAGGTAGTAGGACGTGTATAGAGTTGCGGATTGATTGGAAAAGACGTCATTTTCTATGCCATTGGACAAGCGCACTACGTTACAACTTATTGTCAATCCACAGATAAAGATGTGAATAATTGTCATACGTACAATGTTCAGGTACTGATTCAACCCACTCATCTAGAACAGTATTCAGTTGGCTAACGATCTGCTCTTGCCAGTCGTCGCTAACGAGTCCCAGAAGCACCTTCGACTTGTCAATGCAGTACTAGAAACTCGCTAGTCAAACAAAATTATCGTCGAAGATCTGAATTTTACTTACTATTGTTCGCAGTGCATGTGCCATGATCTGAGTAAGCTTGAGCATTGACACGAAGCCTGAAACCATTGACGGCTTTCCAGGCGGTTGCTTAAAAGCCGGTTGGGAGGGATCGTTGGGTATCCAGTACTCATCGTCCACTTCCAGCGGAAGGTCTAGGTCAAAGCTACATATTTCATGAGCACGGTCACAGTCCATAATTTCGGCGAAATCACGTACTCTTCTTCTCGAACGCAACATGGCCGGCCCAAACTCGCGGCTCCTATTCGATCGAATAATACCAGCATCCTGGGTGAAAGAAACGGAGTCAATATCCGCTTGTTGCTAGGAGTGCTAGGTCTCACCAGAAAGCTCTCTTCCACAATTCGTTCTCAACGCTCGGCTTAGGACTATAAACCTTCTTCCGATGTGCACCAACGTCCATCGCTTTTCTAAGTCCGGTCCCGATAATCACCCAACCTGCTGGCCCAATGGACGACCCCCGCAGAAACATAGCACCGAGCTAACTCGCCTCCCTTCAGTAACCCTCAGCGAGAAATTAGCGAATCGCTTACCGAGCAGAACTGCAAGTCAAACAAGGAAGGTGGGTCGAGTGAACTCACCGTAAACGAGGGGCCGTCTAGAAGCAATTTTTCGATAAGAGATAGGGGTAAGGAATGTAAACGATTTCCGTGTACTCACCTAGACTCCTAAGAAAAAATCGCCAGCCTGCACTAGCCCATTCGACTTCTTCACTGGACTCCTTCACTTCGGGCAGCTCTCCTCCAGCCTCAGAACCCCATCCATCCCATAACACACGACGATCGTCACTCCATCGCGAGGCAATAGCCAATAACATCCAAACAACACCAGCGAACTGTGCGTCTCGTAGGTGTAACCCATCCCGAAACTGGGCGTAAAAAGTCGGGGCGTGGAGGAGGGGGAAAATAGTGTTTGTATGATGGAAGTAAAGTGCGAGGAGTGGGAGGGTGAGATCCGCGGGAGGGAAGTCAAACACGAGGTTGTGCAGTTTCTGTGACTGTGAGGATGGTGAGGAACTAGAAGCGAGAGGGGAATGCTTGCGTTCCCATTCTTCTTCCCACTATTCCAAAGTCCGAAATAAACGCTTATCAGCCATTTAGCGAAAGGAAGAACTTGAAACACCCTTTTCCTTACCGGTGCGAAGGTCCAATACATTCGGCGACGACTCCTGGGTATGTTACTAATCCCGTGTCGGTAGGCGTCAGACCAAACGTCTTCAGAACCCTCTCCCGGACCGTGAAACCCGTCGTCGCCAGCTGTAGCGCGCATATATCGACGTGTCTGGCGAATGAGCGGGAAGAACGACGATTTTCCATGAAATCGAATATTACTTTCTTCACCAATGTGCCCGAAAGTACTTCTTGCAGCTGAAGAAGAAGGTTCATCCAGCATAGGCGAATCCCCGGACCCGGTGCCCGTACCAGCGGGTGAGGAGGTCTCAGAGAGAGATAGCTGGGACTTGCCGCGGACAGTTAGGCGTCGTCGTGGCCAGTCCTCGTCCGAGAAATCATCGTCACTCGGAAAAGATTCATCTTCAGAGGAATAACTAGACTCCCGTTCACGTTCCGTCAGGTTGCGCGGGAGAAGGGGAGCAGAGGGTAGTTGTATTGGTTGGCTCGCGACTGACTGCCGTCCAGATTTTGAACCTGCTGTGGTACTCGGTTTGTTACTCTCTTCTTGCTCGTTCTTCCACGATCCCCTGGGTATAGATGGTCCAAGCACATCCGTAAAATCGGTATCTGGACGGAGCTGTGAAAACGAATGGGCTCAATAATCCCAGTTCAAGCGCCAGGTTGCGGAGGGGGAACATACCCTTTTGAACAACCGTTCGAATCGCTCAATACGATCCTCTAGAGCGGTAACATATCTTTAAAAATATTCAGTCGTTTGCAATGTATAGTAAAGAAATTATACAGACGCTTTTGGAGGTCCTCTTGGCCTTGAGGCTTCTCTGCAAATGTTATCAGAGTCGTGTATGTATATAATAGTATAAATATCAAACTTACAGATAGGTGCACGGGCATTGGTTTCTTTTGCAGTTCGAGCACTTGGAATTGAGCGTCGGCGCGCCATCACAGCGCGTCTTCCGTCTGCGACAAAAATCGCATGCCCTGTCTGATTTTCTGACCTGTGGAGGGAGCAAAGGGGACGAAGGTCCTGGCTCTAAATCTGGCTTGTATTCATCGAGTTTGATAGCGAAAATCGCGCCAGACATGCGCGCAAGGAAAGGGAGCTACAGTAAGATGGCAGACAGCAAGGATAGGCAGCCGTCGAGATTAGAGAGGTGCACGGTGCCGGAGTCGAGGGGAAGAAGCGTTCTGGCGCAACAAAATAGGCCTTGGCTTGGTACTACATAAAGGCTGGAAGGAGGTGCTGCGGATTGACAACAATCAATTATATCCTTAGTTTAGTGTCTAAACAGAATCTCCGTCCAGATTCGAACACTTATTAAGGTTTCTTTCCCTTTTGTGGGTATACAGTACCCGATCAATTCACGTGGAGTCCTAAACTCGGTACCGAGCCCCAGAAAGCAGCCCGTGCGGTGCCGCAGATCCCGGCTCTATCGCACGCGATTGCACCCATCATTCCGGGCTCACAGTCTAGTGAAAAAAAGAAATCGAGCTCCGCGTGGCCAGGCCGAGAACGACGGCGCCGCCCTGCGCCCCTTGGCCCGACATTGACCGACACAGAGTGACGGACAGGCGGGTATTGCCTGGATACATCCAGCCTTTCATATATCCGAGAGTTTCCGAGACCAACAAGATACCGCGCCTGCAACTCTATCTCCGACCACCATGTCATTACTCAGATTCACCGCAAGGCAGATTCGGTTTCTCTCCAGCTCGCCATTGAATCGTCCAAAGCCGCCACCATTGCTGCCCAAGGATCAGCGCGAGTTCGAGGAGCTCGTTCGCGCAGCGGCATCCACCAATTCAGCCGTTGCCGCTGAAGCAGCCTCTATTCAAGCCCGCATTGCTAAGGGCGAGGAGCTCCACCCTGATGCACGCAGACCACCTCCTCCGGAATTCGAGGGCGACACAAACCCAGTCACAGGCGAAGTGGGCGGGCCGAAAAGAGAACCTCTACGGCACGGAGACTGGAGCTACAGTGGTCGCACGTCAGATTTCTGAACTGAAAATGATTAAAAAAAGGAAGGAAAAGGAAAAAGAAAAAGGAATGTTTTGACGACGATTTTCTTGCGGTCGGGCGGAGAAGGATTGGGCCCGAGGACAAAAGTGAATTTGTTCAGGGTCTGTGCCTGCTGCGCATAACGTGCTTTCGCCTTATCGGGACTTGCCCGTCGCTGTCTAAAAGGTACCAGGCTATCGGTCGTGATTGATGATTTTATCGTTTACGCCCGACGATTTCGGTGTTGGGCGCGTTGTACAAGTTCTGACCCACCATTCTTCTGTGTTCGCAATTTCGGAGAGCTGGGCTAGATCACGGCATCGGTGTTTGTATCTTATTGTAGTATGCTTTCCATTTGAGTTCATATTCAAGATTCATAACTTTCATCTCACTTCATCCTTGCTTCCTTCTTTTCCACCCTTCCAATCGTCGCAATTCTGGACTTTCAACTGCTGCGCACTAATTCCGAAGGTCGTCATGGCGGTGTAGCGCTCATCGTAGATCAGCATTCCTGTTGACCTAGAAGCCCATTACATATCCCACACACTCTTATCTCCAGCGTATCTTGCAATGATATTCGTTCCTCATTAATATATTTTTGTCTTTGCGCAGTTCCACCATGGCAGGTTGGTAGGCGCGGAAGGAACATGTAACACTGCATGCTACTCGACAGGAACAAAGTTTAAAAGGTTCAGGAACAACACTTGTCCCTAGTTTCCGCGGTGTATGCATGTATGACTTCATGTTGAACGCTCGTGCTGCGTGTGTAGCCAAGTAAACCTACATTTGTAACCAGCAGAGAAATTTTGGTTAAGTAAGCAAGTATATTCACATGTATAGCAGCTTAACGACAGCACGCCACAGAGCAACCGCAACAACAAAATAAGAAGTTCGGCAAAAAAAGTTGAATGGGGTTAACAAGGACTACATAGTTTGAAGCAGCAACTCTCGGGAGAATGGAAGATGATGAATGGCCAAACACGCGTAACAGATACATATGCAACATGGATGTTAAATCCATATGGTCACCGAAAGGAAGAGACCTTCACCATCAGCATACGACGCAACACGATTTGAATCTGACGCCTCTAAAGTTTATGAGTCCGTGTATCTGTAAAGAAAATACAAGAAAGGTGCCGTCCAGATGCCGAACGAGGCGGTTAACCAGTACATCAAAAGCCGAACGGCACGCATCATATAGGGATTTTGTCAAGTTCTTCCAGCGTCCAGTATTTCTTTAGATTTTCCCCACGGAGGTCTTCTACTTCTTCGTCTAGGTGTTTCATGAGTACGTCCCTATATGGATAAAAATAATCATTATGTGCATGATCAATCTCAATGTTTTCTTTGGATACTGAGCGTCAAAATGAAACGAGGTGGAAGGAAGTCCGACACGGAAGAAGGACAATGTACACATTCAAACAATTCCCCGAGCCAAGACGGCAATCCGCGTTGTGGATCAAAGGAATGAGAACTTTAATCGATCAGGGCAACGGAGAAAAGAGGATTCACGACAAAGCAACGGATGGGTCGAATGGAGGACATAGAATAGACGAAACTTGGTGCAAGGTTGACTTACCTGAAGGAATCAAGACATTCGCGCATGCGTTCCGGGGAATACGACGTGGGGTTCTCTCGAAATTCACGTGTGATGGCGCCCAGTTTAACCAGACCTGCGGTCCAAAAGCAACACAAACATGTGAATGAAAACATATAAAAGACAAATCCAAAAGAGTAAATAGCATCTGTCAACCAATAATAGTTCACACAGAACAAACGAGGATGGGATGAAGGTTTTAAAGTGGGCATACGGGAAGGGACGCACCGTCGTGAATACCTTCATGAGACTTTCGGTGCTGGTCATTCTCCGCAAAGGAAGGCATCTTTTTCGCGAGTTCGGGGAATATGAATCGCTATGCCAATACGATTAGTCTCCCCATCTGGTGTCGAGAATGCGGAATAGACCTCTTCTATTGAATGATGCGTTTCGAGATCTGTGGATCAGAGGATTAATACTACTGAATAATGTGGCTCTGTTGTATATACTAACGTTTCTTGAGGCTATCTGCTTCTCGGAGATACATTTGCAGAGACATTCGCTGATTGGTGAAAGACCCATCTGCAAGCTATTAAGTAAATCAGTGCGCTGGACGCAGTAAAAACAACTGGTAGCTATCGAACTTCAACACTCACCTCATATACGCGCTCAACTGTGGTGTAAATAATGGATATTGATGCACGATCTTCTACCAGAATGGATACCGCAACATACACTCAGACTTGAAGTGATTATGGAAATATTCCATTGTTGTAGATAGCTAAAATATACACACGATTATGTCTTGGAGATGGTTCAAAATAAAAGAAGGCGCATAACGGACGCACTTTGTTCCATCGCTTCTCTTCTTCGCGACTATCGCTGGTCATATTGATTCGTCTGTCTCTGAAGCTTGTTCTAAAAGACTTGTTCCGAATAGAGTTTGCTGCTTGAAGCAGAGGAAGCAATCTACGCATACAACGTCTTTTTGTACCCCTACTAAGGCGATTTTATATGTGACCACGGTCCCGCTGCTCACTCAACGCACCGACTCGGAGCACAGTGGTTTGACGGAGGAATTTACGAGTGTGCAAGTGGAACTCTGTAATGAGCGCTTTCCCATTGGGCGCGAGCTGGAACTACTTACTAAAACGGGACATCGGGTCGTCCCGGAAGGGCCACGGGCCATACTCACTAACTCAGTATCTGAACGAGGTGCACTTTCGCTCATCGTCGACAACGGCGACAAGGTTGACTTGACAATAACTACAAATATTGGAAAAGCTGTCGCGTACGATGTCGCTGCGAGCTACCACTTTACTTCGTCCCTCGATGGGCTTGCGTCGCCCGGTTGCACGCTCGCTCGTTAGCCATCTCCAAAGTATGTACCATTGCATTCTGCCACTCTAGGTGTGACGCTGATTATTTATTGTCGTTAGCTCGTACTGCAGCCTCGACTTCACAATCTCCTGCATCCTATGAATACGTTCCAGGTGGTCGTACGTGTACTCTGCCTTTCATATAACCAATACAGCCAACTTGGTCATATCATTATTACAGCTATCTACAAAGGCACCGCAAACGACCCGACACCCTTCCCTCCTCCATCCAAATCACACGGCTCGTACCATTGGGCGTTTGAGCGTCTCCTCTCCGCAGCTCTTGTGCCAATTACCGGTGCCGCATTCGTGACAACAGGCAGCCAATACCCACTTATCGACGCCCTCCTCGGTGTCTCGCTGGTCATTCACAGCCATATCGGCGTAAGTATTATTTCTCCTTAACTTTTTTTTCGGAACCGACCGCCGGCGAGTTCATCGTCGGGTTCGTGAACTGCGGTTGTGCACTTTACGGAAGATTTTGTATTGGCTATGTTACCGTCAACTTTCCTGCGGATTTCATTTCAGTTCTAGCTCGGTCGACCCTGTTGCATGTTGCTGCGGCACAAGTATACGTCTCGAGCTGAGTTGACATTGAAGAAGAAGACGTGTCGAAAATGTTAGCTCATCTGCGTACTTTCGATAACTCCGCAGTCGCGGTTTTCGCGCGGTAGCGGACATTTGAAACATAACATCTTCCTCAACAACGAAGCACGTAACTCGAGGAACCATGCCGTCTCACAGCTGTTGCTACTTCACTGCGCATCTCTTTCATGCCGAAATTTTCTTTGACACACGATGCATCGGTATGCTGTGACCCGTATATGCTAACTGTTCTTCTATGCAGTTCGAATCCATTCGTATCGACTACCTCCACCCACGCAAGTTCCCAATTTTTGGGCCAATTACAAAGTGGGCTGTTCGCGGATTGACTGCGGGCGCAGTCTACGGTGTCTTCATGTTCAACACGAATGATATTGGTACGTTGTATTTCCTTCAAATTATCTTGGTTCATTCGTCATTTTAATTTGTTATTCTTAATTGTTATTTCATTGCTTATTTTTTCCGGGCTGACGGTTCTGTCTGATATAGGTCTGTGTGAATTGATTACACGGGTTTGGCACGCATGATCGGATAAAATACGTGGCTCCTGTGTATTTCGACAAATCATCGATTTTTTTCTACGTTTTGTGCACAATATTCACTTCAATCAAATTCAATTCGAGTAGAAAAGCACACTTCCGAAGGTGCAACACATTGCTTAAAGATATCGCTTAAAGGTTTGCTTTCACGAAGTGCAGTTTGTTCTCCGAATCTGGGTGGATGCTCGTACGGTTATCGAGGAGCGTCTTGGATAATTCCGCTTAATCCCTTTATCGACTGACTACAGAACGTCACCCTTAGCTCGAGAGACGCTGGCGTTTGGTATCATCTTTCACTGAATATTCCTATATTCTGCAATAGATGATCATATAGCAATGTCTCATGAAATACGCTTCACACTGGTGCGCAACAAGGCAGAAATGGTATCGAGCCATCGGACAAGACGCAAGATCCGGGGACATATCAGCTCCTTTATATTTTGTTTGCCACTTTAAATCGGTTGAGAAGTTTAAAGGTTCGCTCGGCTTTGGCTTTCAGATTAGCATGAAAGAGTTGAAAACGCCAAGACAACTCATACAGTAGTTTGTCGGTCGGATATCAACTAATTTCCCTCCTACCTAGAGACTGTGTTTGCGCACATGCAATCTTTTTGCTTTCAAGTATTTCGTTAATGATACCATCTTGTTTCGCGCTATATAATTGTCCCGAAAAAAATGGAATTTCATTGCTCGTGCATACAGGTACAGTTAGCACATACAGTATTGTCTTTGATCAGTAGGATTGGTTCAAATATTGAGAAGGATCTCAGTACGCATAAAAACAGAAAGGTCGGACGTTATTCATTTATGCGACTCGCGATACTTCTCCGCGACTGTACCTTCTGCACTCCAAAGTCCAAGTAGGCCAACACTGACGGCACTGACGACTCGCCTATCCCAACGGGGTGCGTCCCAATTTACATATGCAGCGTAGCCTACGCCACCCAAGATACCAACATTGACAAGGCCGACGAGTCCCCCCAGAACTCCCGGACGGAGGACGATTTCACGCGAATGGCGGTAGAGAGCTGCACCCTCTTCACGCGCGCGTTTGCGCTCTTTCCGACCACGCGGTGTTTGTGCGTATCGTTCCACTGCGTACCCTTCCAATCCAAAGAGTGCGAGAAGCGAGATTCCACCCATTGATATTGCGCGAGTATCACGCCGCAAAGATGGATTCGCGTAAAATGCGTACGATGCATAACCTAGCAAGCCAACGTTTACTATAACGCAAACGCATACATGAGTGAGTATATGTGCTTTTACGCAGCAAAGCGAGACGATTACTGACCAACGCCAATCAACCCACCAGCAACACCAGGACGAAGAAGCTGCTCCTTTGCAGCAGCAAAAAATCCGGCAGCCTCCGTTTCGGCATTGCGGAGTTGTCTGTCCCTGCGGCGCTTTCGCTTTTCGCTGCCGTTGATATTTTTATCGTCGCCTTCGGAGCTCGACTCGTCGATATATGGTCCGGACTCGGAAGTGACGGTGACCGGGTCGCGTTTAAAGTTTGGAGGGACGATGTTAACCTTTGCAGTGTCGTCTGCAATGGCAGATGTTGTGGGGAGACCGGTGTTTAGGAGAGCGGGGTCTGGTTTTGGCTGTAGAAATAGATTGATGAGTACGCAGAGTAATAAATCAGAAAGAGGGAAGATACCTGCTGTGAATGAGGTGGCGCATTTTCTTTAGCGACGTTGGCGTAAGACATTGTACTGGCAGTGGAAGTACTAGTAGGACTGTAGGAAGCGTAGCTGGACACTTGTGGGTGGCAAGTTTTTATACGGACTGGCTATGACATCATCATTCATCGTCACCACTCACCACACAAAACAGATGCTCCAGTACCTCTGCACGTGATATCACTTTTCATTCGTCGGTCGACCACCTCGATACTCATATTCATATTCAAATTTTCATAATATCCATTCTCACCGTCAGTTCTAGAGCTGCCTCGACTGCTTTGAAGCATACAGTATCGCGATCGGTATCCCGTGGCTTATATTTGCAGATGTTGTATGCAAGGCATACAACTTGGTCTGCGCAACCAAGGCTTAACCTAACTCAATATTAAAAGGGGGCGCAAAAAAGTTTTCTAGGATCGTTATATAAACGGTCAGGCATCAGGCGTATCGTCCACTCTAACACAACACTCAATACAAGAAAGCAACCCTTGCAGATAAAGCAATGCCTCGTCCCAAGAAGCCAACGACTCCTCCAAGCAGAAGCGGCTCAACATCTAGTGCATCGTCCTTTGCAAAAGCCCCTGAGCTGCCTACAATCGAAGAGCACCCAAGTGTTCCTTTTATGCCAGAACTAACTAATGATAAGGAGCACCTGAAATCAACAATTTCTCCTGCTGAACAGGTTAGAAGAGACTATATTATGAGTACACTGGATTCGCTGCTGAGAAAAGAAAACCCAACTCACAATGATGCACAGAGAGGCATGATGATACTTATGCTTAAGATGCCATACAAGGACTTACTCGATTCACTCATTTTCAGTACTTGCACTCTTTATCCTTGAGCTTACTGCTGCTTGCATAATTCCTTAGAACGGTAAGATCACGTGATTTTTTGTCACAAAGTTGAAAAACACAAAGAAAATACAATATCTCACTCAATCCTTAACATAAATGTGTACTATTAGTACCTAAATTCATACTTTTAAAATCCCCTTCAGATAGATACTTTATTAATCAAATTTGAGTAAGAATT